TTATACTAAAGAGTTTGTTTTTTTTTACTATCATAATTACTGAAGTAGAAAATAGGTATCATATTGAAACTGAAAAACATTTAATAATGTCATTCATTAAAGTTTGTCTTAAACCAAAATTAGTCATAGCATGGTGGTTAAATCAAATCTAAATCTCTTGGGAATTAATACCTAAGTACTAGTCTGTTAAGTTCATTAAAAAAGTATAATTTTACAGCTGTAAATTTCTTCAACTCCATCAACGAAATAAATCATCTAAACTAGGATGAGATAATTATAATTATTTTAACATTGAAGATTGTTTAACACCGCGATAGAACGTTATGATGTAGAGACCTAGAGTTCATATTACAGTCTCTGTTATAAGAGTAATATGTCTGTTAAGTGTTGAAACTATAATGGCACAATGGATTTGAGTAAAATTCAGAATAACGAGTTTATTTTAATTGATATATCTATAATTATTGTATTTAATTTTTTAATATGATTCTTATCTATACTAATATTTTAACAAGGCAGAGTATGTTCGTTTGTTTGAACGCGCAACTACTAATACGATTTGAAAAATTCTTTTTGCATTAGATAGCCCGTTTATTGAGGAAGGCTATATATAGGCTATATATAATATATTGTATAGTCTATCTATACCATACTATCCGTTAAAACGTACCTAGGGACGAACCAAGCGAGGGTGAGCCGCTAGTATTTATATAAAAGGAACACTTGTTACTTTTGAACAATGTAATAAATATAAATAAAGTAATTACATATAACATCAACCATAAATGTTTTCCTCAAATAAAGGAATGCCGTTATTCCGGCCGTTTTTCGAAATGTCTGATTCACAAAGCCCAAGTTCAGTCGCTTGCGCAAGTCACCTGATATGGCCACCGCATCTGTTCCCTGACCCACTGACATCACTCATAAACCATTGAAAATCAGTCATTCGTCAAACAGTTAACTAATATAGATGAAATTCACCGATTATAAGTGAAAAAGGGCAGTGTATTTTTTTTATTTAAATAAAAGTAATATAACACATTAGCATTGCTCGCGGCTCCGCCCGCTTTCAGATCCAAAAACCAAATTCTTAGGTATTACATATTAGTATACTCTTACAATGCAGTTTTTGTATTTTTTCTCAGAAATGAGATATTTTCCCGCCGCAAAAAGTCCTATATGTTGACTCAGATAACCAGCTATCATCATACCAAATTTCATCAAAATCTGTCCAGTGTTTTCTCGTCATGCGGTAACAGACAGACAGACAGACAAAAATTCTAAAAACTATAGATTCGGACTCTGTATCGATAATAATGTCTATTTCAATTAGATTTTCCAAAAAATATTTTATGTACAGATTCGACTTAGTTAAAATTTTATTATATGTATAGAAGATGTTAAGACAGATGAAAAAAGAAAATTAACGTCAAGAATAATTTCATCATTATTAAGAAAGGAATTTAGATTATCTACTACAAAATATTCGAATATTCAAATACTAGAATGTTTTTTGTTTTTGCATATAAAAAGAGCGGCAGTGTGTCGAGAGTTCAGTTGAATTTTACAGCTAAGAGAAATACGACAAAGTGAGGAAAATTGGAGTAGTCTTAATACAAAAATAACTAGTTGTAGAAAATAGTGTTCACTGTTCAAGGACCGAGACCGGAACTGTGCATGTACCGACTTCGTGTCTTGTGTGTTTGTGAACCGCCAAAAGTGACACTCGTGAACCAAAAGCAGTAAAACATCTGTAGTGCAAGATGTACTTTATAATCCCAGTTCTAATCCCAGAACTTAGATCGTATTGATAACAACATAATGACCATATTATTTTATTTCAAAATAATATCTAATATATTTAATCGAGCAATTCTTGTATATATATATATATATATATATATATATATATATATATATATATATATATATATATATATAATTTCTTAGTTTCCTATAAGCACCAAAGTCTCCGCAAATACAATACTTTCCATATCCCTTGTGTCAAAACTAACCTTGGTTCTCAATCTCGCATCGTCCGTATGTGTTCGCAATACAAAATTATTTCTAAGGCCTTACTAGAATTAGATATTTTTCACGATACCTTCAATAAATTTAAGTACAAACTATTAGAATATTATTTATCCAAACTGTGATTTAAATATAGATATAATAATTTTTATAAAACTATTGATTACTAATAAATCTAAAAAATCTAAAATAAATCTAAGAAAGTATTACCAAAAATTAAATTATTATTATTTTTATCTTTACTTTTTTTTATATTTTAAATTATGTTATTTCTAATTTTTGTTAATTTTGTATTTTTTATCAATTACTATAATAATTTCATATTATAAATGCTATGTACACTTGTTATTGATATGCATGTCTGATTCTTTTTTTTCACTTTAATTATTGTATTGAATTGTTTAACATGTGTATTGTAAGTGTGCTTAATAATAAATAAATAAAAAATAAATAAATAATTCGTTGGCTTACAAGGTTCTATGTTAATTTTAATGAAGTTTAGTAATTTTTACATAGAACTTCGTTATTTTGTTATCGTAAAAAAAAACAACATAGAACTATGTAAAATTGAATATTTTGTAGTTAAAGTGTCGCTATCTAGTGGTTTGTTTTTGCAAAACTGTAGCTAATGACACATAGAACCTTGGAGCATTAATAACTAAATAAGTACTAAAATTGTAACATAGAACCTTGTAATAGTGATCAAACGTTATGTCATTTTATTCCAGTGTTTAACACTTCGTTACATACGATACCACTATACCAGTGACGTAGATCAACCTATTTAAGAATATGTCCCAACTGAGTGTAACAAATAGATTAGGTGCGGTTGGTTATAGCAAGGTTAACTTGATTCTGACATCCATTTGTTATCATGCGTACTTGTATTATTAAAGCTTTCGCGCTATTAACGAGTAGGTATCGTAGTAAACATTTGATAATAAAATATGTTATCAAAAGATATATAAGGCATGTTCATTTATTTTGTCTACTTTTTAACCGACTTTCCAAAAAAAGAAGGAGGTTCTCAATTCGTCGGAATCTTTTTTTTATGTATGTTCACCGATTACTCGAAGACGCCTGAACCGATTTGGAATTTTTTTTTGTTTCAAAGGGTATACTTTCCAGGTGGTCCCATATAAATTTTATCGAAATCGGTCGAGCGGTTTTTTAAAAAATCAACAATAAATATATTTTTTTAATAAATTGTTTAATCGAATAGGTATGTTATTAAAAAACTTTCTTCTTACAAATTACCTGCTTATTACGTCTACACTAAAAATGTAAAAATAAAAACTTAAAAAAAATAATTGAAACCGACTTCCAGGCACTAAAATGTAAAAAATAACTAAACGGAGGTTTTCATTTAGAATAGATACCTAATCAGATATTTTCGAAGTCAGTGCCAGCTGACAATATTTTAAGATATGAATATCTAATAGGTAAATATATATTTTACGAATCGAAATATATTAGATTTGCTTTGCATCGGCTGGCACCGACTTCGAAAATATCTGATTAGGTATATATTCTAAATGAAAACCTCCGTTTAGTTATTTTTTACATTTTAGTGCCTGGAAGTCGGTTTCTATTTTAAAATATTTTTTTATCCCTACCCGATGCAGGAAGTTAAAGATTAAAGAAATCAGAAATTGAATAGTATATTAAAGAATTATTTTTTAAAATTAATAAACTGGAATCCCTGGTTTTTTATCGGCGCCATTCTGTGGTTCAAAGTTATATTTATGGATTTGTATTCTTGTATTTTTTTTTGTGATCATATGCAATTTTCACTTATTCTTTATAGTTTTAAAAATTCACCATAGGTAGAGCTTGATATAATGAGTAACCATAATAGGCAGAATAATAGGCAGAGATAAGACTTACATCTTATCTCTACCTCTGCCTATTTCTCTCCCCGTACCTATAGGTTAAGGGTAGCTACTATCTAAACTCATTTAACGTAAACAATGTAAAGTCTTCTTTATCGTTCTATTATAACTTTTATTAAATATTTAATGTGTGACAAAAGTGAAATTGCAGCGAATACATTTTCGACTAGTAACTCTATGCATCTTAAATATTTTAATATATTTAAGATTATAGAATCTAAAGTTATCGTTATTCTTAAATATATTTAGGTAAATCTCCCGTATTTTAGCTACGTTAATTATCCGACTGCGTATTTTTGTTCCTTTTCTATTCCTCGCCGTCTCCCGCACTAATGAGTACGCAAATAGTTCCGACCTAAGGGCTTGTTAGACGCGATTTTTAAATAAACACGTCCTAAATTTACGCATTAAGCAACTTTCTTACGAATTACAACATTCTTGTCACTATTATGAATACAATAGTAATCAGCTTCAGATTTAAGACTTGAGTAACTTTAAAAGATTACATTATTTTATTAAATTTCAACATTATAAATTCAAAAAAATAAAAATTCCGGACAAGTGCGAGTCGGACTCGCCTACCGCGGGTTCCGTACAAAACTGTAGGAAATCAACGGGAACTACCATATAGGCTTTCGACCTACAGGGTACTTCCGGTTGACCTATAATTAATTGTCAATTTAAGGTTAAAAGGAAAGGTCTTACAGCACAAGTAAAGGGAAAATTCCGAAAATTAAAAAGTTAAAAATTAAGGTAAATTTTGGTACTTACAAGTTTTCGCGAAAATGTAAATTTGCCCAATCTTTTTATCGTGTTAACTCAGGATCTTGATTTTTATACACCTAATAGGGACTATAGACCTCAGTATTTGGTATAAATTTCAATTTGCTAGGTCCACCCGTTCCTGAGAAAATCGGTGGTGACACACGGACAGACAAACGGATCAGAGAGTGATCTTATAAAGGTTCCTTTTCTTACCTTTTGAGGTACGGAACCCAAAAAATGAATGGCTAATTATACTTATATGAAATTGCAATGTACATACAATGTTGCATCTACGTCATTAAGTGCACTAACCTTCGTCTAATGTGAGCGAATTTGTAGCGGATGCCGCAATGAGAATTACCAGCAACCATATGGCTTGCGAAGCCATGCTTCCTGTCGAAAACATATAAATAATATAAGGGTGCGAAATATTTTTGTCTCGTCAAATATTTATTTTTTTTTGATTACACTAGACATTGTTTTTAACATCATTTATCTTAACTTAAGTAATATAAAAAGTTTTCTACATTAATACTTTACTTTATAGGTATTTTTATTATTTTTTTAACCTTTGATTCTTATCTTGCTAATCTGATTTTTAATGAATGCATAAATTTTATACAAAAATATTTAAATAAATCTCCACTACTATATTAAAAAGTACGATGTAACACATATAACCTGGCTGATTACTTTTATGACAAAAATATAGAACTGATTCGTTAAAAATAATAAAAGTATAAATTATACATTCTTACAAATATATACTTACTATTATAAAAAATAAAGCAATATTCAACAAAATCCCGCCATTTTTAAAGTAAAAAAAAAGATAAAGCTTTTTTTTCTTAATAACTTTATCGTAGCATATACTTATTTCATTAATTATTATATTTTTATGCGATATTTTTTTTATTAGTATAGCTCACTAAGGATAACTAAATAATTATTAATGATAATTAAAAATGAAATATTACCTCTATCCGTAATTCTAAACTTAAACTATCAGCGAATGAATTTCGTATTATTTTCGCGACTTGCTCGAAGTTCCAGCGATCGAGCTTTTCGTGGTGAGAGCGCGTGCGCGGAGTGCGTACGCGCAAACTCGACTGAATGAATTCTGGTAGACTAAATTATAAATGAGTAATTTATTATTTTTATAAATACATGTTTATTCAAGAGTAGCACAAAAAGTATATATTAGAAATATTCCTAATTTATACCAATATGTATACATGATCCATATATGTAAAAACTTTGTATTAAAAGTTTCAAATAATCTTAATATAAAACTTTATATTAGAAAATCTTTTTTTTTCATAATTTTGCTTTGCGAAAATCTTGTTTTTACTTAAAAATTAACTATCAATAGAAAAGTATAAAAGTGATGATATTATGCTTTTGTTATACCTACGTTAGATCCTTGTCCGAATACCTTATAAGCACAACGAACAAATATTATTCTATATTTATAAGAATCGTATCCGTTACGAACAACGTAGCCCACACTGAGCCAAACATTTAAAACTTATCATGGCTATTAGCCTGTCTACAACGTAAACCACAAGATTTACCTACCTACACATATTTAATGTAAAGGAAACTTTTATAATAGCGGGTAGCCAATATAAACAGAAATTAAACATCAATTTCTATATATTTTCAACAATTGTAGGGAACATCACACGTTGAAACTCTTTATAAAAGATGAATTTTCAAAAATCTTCACCTAACTCTTCTTCATTACCTATATACTTAAATAAAGTCCTCCTAAGTCCTGACCACGGCGAAATTAACCTTGGACCAGCCCGCGCGGGATATATTATAGCGCCCTAGCGCGCTCTCCGTTCAAAATTCAAAATTCAACAATTTCCTTTCACTCTCTAAGTCTTAGGACGATACTTCGATCCATCAGGCGCAGGGTCGATAGCTTTCCATACTCACTGAGGCACAGAGGTGTAATACCGCCAAATTATCAACTTCGACTTGTAATACTGAAAATTTATTTATATTTATAAATTATATATATTAAAAAAGAACCCAGATCTGGACTAAGAGCCGGATCTCACTGTTATGCTGCTATACTTGCTAGCCATTGACCAACGGAACAGTTTTATAAGAGATTCTTGTACAATATAGGTATGTGTCTAAATATGAATTCAAGATTTTTTAATTTATTTAATTTTACATTTAAAATAAGTTGAATTTATATTTACGAGTAGCCTATGGACGAGGTAGGAAATCTGCACAACTCCATTAAGAGCCATACATACATAAACAGAACCCTATGTCACGACAACTGCACAACATTTCAGAGTGGAAGTAAACTTTAGAAATCTATATTTGAGTAAAAAAATTATTATGCCAATTCATTTACGATTTTAGTCTAAAATCTTAAATATAAAATATAAATGTATAAAAAAGGATTTATAATTCGATACATATCTACTTTGTTGTTCATATTTTTATTATTCATCTATGGTTCATAATAATGGCAGTACTGAACTCTGTCTTGTACCTCTATTTAGTCTCTGGTTTTGTCTATAGTTAATGTTTGAGTGTGATTTGTCTGCAATCCTAAATGTCATATTTATTAGAAGAGTAGTATTTTTGAGCTCAATATTATCGGAATGGCTGAAAACAGAGAAGAAATACTTGCAAATTTCCAGGTATATATCACCAATTTAATTGTAACTATAATTATATTAAGAGACTTTATCTTATTTCGAAAATGTGAAGGTTATGTGAAATACAAAAACAGTGACTGTTAATTCTGCTTTATCTCTTTGTACTACGTATATTACGAAAATTAATAATATTTTTGGTGTTATATATTATGTTTTTCATTAGTTCTATACTTCTGTCTCAGTTATATTACCTTATTCATAATGTGAATGATTTTATCTAAATATTACCATTCGTCCTTTGTACTGTTTCGAAATTTACGTCTTAGAGCTCCAAGGTAAATCTTACAATGTTAATAGCATTTCTTTGTGAATCTTGTATCGCCTTAGAAGGAAATTATGTCCTTATATTTGTGTTTAGTCTATAAATAAGAGAATAATAGCTATTCTTATAATTACAGGGAATAACAAATATTGAAGATGTTGCAGAAGCTATATTTCATTTAGATGAATCAAATTGGGATTTAATAGTAAGTCAAATTCATATTTTTATATTTTAAAAGAAACTTTTGTAATTTGAAGTAATAATATACTATGAATTTAGACAATGAATAAGTCTGTCAAGTACATAATTAGCTTTATTAAATGTATTTGAAATTCCTTCTATATTTAAAGAAAATAATAGTCTATAATTTTAAAATAAAGAAAATGTTTTTAATTATTTCAGACTGCCATTAAAAGGGTTATGCCTCAAGATGGCAACAGTTCAACATCTCAATCAAATGACACACATGATGTGGAGATGATAGATGATGATATATCTGTGATAACTCCAAAAACACACCCACCTGGTGAGTTTAGCCATTTAAAACTATATGTTGTTACTATTATATATATGTATTTAATCTAGAAAAACTTCATGACCTTATATGACATTAAGTAATTTTAGGTAAATTAATTCTTACTGCATGCTATTGATATACACTATTATTTATATTAATCATTTAGATATATTTTATTATGTCATAAACATTATATCTATATATTATGATAAGTATAGGATAAGCATTACAAATTATCATTTATATAATTGTATTACAGATCGGGAGGATAGTAATCAAGCTTCAACCTCATCCCCTAGAAATAGTTCAATTGATCTAGTAGAACTACAAGTTCATTGTAATAATAAGATACACGAGATCAAAATGCCTGGTTCTGCAACTGTCAGTAAGTATTTTATTGAATTTAAATTACTTCTCAGTTCTGATCAAATTACACATTCAAATGACCTTCAATGTATAAAAAATAAAAAAACAGATACTTGAAAACCTAGAAATAATAATCTCATTTCTTTCTAATTAAAGAAGACAAAGGGTTCATGAAACTAATTACATACTAGAGAGAAGTTCTCATTGAGGCCAATCTAATAAATCAATATACTATTTTACATCTGCTTTCAAATAGCTGCTAGTTACATGGAAATCTAATATATGTACTTTGTATGTCTGAAATCCCTTACATCATCTTGGAAAAGAACTCATTATCCTCAAAGAGAAGAAACTGCATGCATCTCTCCATCCATGTATGATCAACAATGCCTTAGGGCTTAGAAGAACATACAGATGAACAAACTGATAAAGTGACAAAAATAAAAAGGGATTCATAACAGTGTCAATAATTTTCCAAGAACCGAACCCGTTATGTACTAGACCTTACCAGTTCTTCTTCTTCTTCTTCTGACGCGGCCTTTTCCGCACTTAGGCATCCTTAGAAGAACATACAGATGAACAAACTGATAAAGTGACAAAAATAAAAAGGGATTCATAACAGTGTCAACTTAAAAATGTATTTATATTTATACAAACTTCATATCCAAATTGATATTACACTTACCAATAATATAAATATTACACACTTCTTGCACTATATAGTGTAAATTTTTGGAAGAAATCTCATATAGTGATAAAACTTATCCTTTGTCTTTTAATTTTCTATGTTAAAGTTTAATGATTCACTAGAGACTCACCCTCGCTTTGCTCGGGTTCGTCCCTGGCTTGATTTCCATACTAACTTTCATCCCCATTTTAACACCCTTAAGGGATGATTTCCGGGATAAAAACTATCCTACTCCTTCCCAGGGTCTCAAACTATCTTACCAAATTTTATCTACATCTTTTCACTAGATCTAGAGATTACCCCCTACAACGTCACAAACTCACAAACTTTACCTCTTAATATTATTTTATGATTCATAAATGAATAAAAAATAAGATAGCTAATTATGACTTTCTTACATACAGATGATCTCAAAAAAAAATTAGAATCAGTAAGTGGTATACCAATATGCAGACAACAGATATCGGGGTTAGGTGGGTCGCGGGCTACCTCCAGTGCAGCGCTGTCCAGCCTGGGTTTGACACGCAACACGGTGCTACGTCTTAAAGCCGCCGACAGGGTTATGGCGGATGATGAGTAAGATTCTTTATATATATGAGTAGCTTTTTAGTATGATTTTGTTATTTGTTATAGCTGTCTAGATAGTCTAGTTAGTGGTTATTATGTCCCAGGTTTGGCCAAGCATAGTTGGCCTGGAAAGTTGGCAATAACACACCCTAATGCCAAAGCAGTGCATATTAAGTTGTCATCCTGAAATCGTCCAGAATTGTCGTCCCATCGGACTATAACAGTTAAACGAATAGGAAGCCGTTAGCGTGAACACGCCTGCATCATATACTATCTGCCATATAGTGCGCTAGCGTAGTCTTGAAACTAGGCCGTGCAAACTCAGTCAATTTGCTTATCTCAGAAACTATGTGTCCAGTTTTAAAAAAATCTTTTAAACAAAACATTTTTTTAAACCACAAAAAAATATCATAATGTTAGCTTTTGCAATTGCGATTCACTTGAGTTTTATTATTTTTTTATTATATAAAAAGTATAAAGCTTATGTAGCTAGTATCAATAAGTATTGCTTGTAATATTGCACTGTTTAAATTAAATATATTTGGATCACCAGGGTAGCAGAAAGGTTAACAACAACATATGTGCTGCGAGTGAAGCACGACGAAAGAGACTATACACTGAAATACCCTGGCACTAAAACAGTGCAAGAAGTGAAGAACGATCTCTACTCACTAACAGACATACCTGTTCGACATCAGGTAACATTATTTTATTAAAACACAATATACATTTTTTTATAGATTACATTACAAAATTTACCTTTTCCAAGAACCGAACCCGTTATGTACTAGACCTTACCAGTTCTTCTTCTTCTTCTTCTGACGCGGCCTTTTCCGCACTTAGGCATCCTTGCCCGTTGTGCGTGAGCTTGTGCTGCTGTGTGTGTTATTCTTTCCACCCCAGAGCGTCCCAGTAGTCTAGCAGGCTGCCGGTGTCCTGGAAGATTTCTGGGATCGATCTATAGGGGCCGAGTTTTTCTTCGCGTAATTGTTCCAGTGCACTGCATTCAGTTAGAATGTGTGCTGGTGTTTCATCTTCTTGGAGGCACGCTCTGCATAGGGCGCTGTCCGTGTGACCTATGTTAAAAAGATGTTTATTGAGTTGGCAGTGTCCTGTTATCAGTTCCACCACCGTTTTTAGTTTGGGTCTATCTAAGCGTGTTAGTTTCATTGTTAATTTTTTGTTTAGTGTGGGGAAGGCTTCTTTCGATTGACGGCAATCTGTGTTAGCCTTCCATAATGTGTTAGCTGTGTTATCGGTGAAGTTTCGTAACCATGTTTTGTATTCACAATATGGAATTGGAGATAGAGGTGTAGGCCCCTGAACTTTCAGTCTAGAGGCCTGTTTGGCTAGGTTATCGGCAGTTGAGTTGCCTTTGTTATTTGTGTGACCCTTTACCCAGGAGACCTTTACTGTGTTAGTATGGGAAAAGTGTTCCAGCGTTTTGTGACATTCTAATATGTATTTAGATTTTGTTGTGTTTTTAGTTAGTGCTTGTAAAACCGTTTGCTGTCGGTTTTTATGTGTAAAATTGAAAACTAACCTAACCTTACCAGTTATTATGCACCATGATTGTATGTTTAGTTTTTGACTGACTACTAAAATGAGGGTATACTGATAATTACTGAAAAGGAGGATATACTATTTTTTTGTTTGTCAACTAATTTAAATTTTCTTTCCGTCTATCTATGTAATGAAGTTCATTCAAATCTGTCCAGCCATTTCAGTGTGAAGTAACAAAAATGCACACATGCAAAGTTTCATGCAATTAAATGACCAATAATATATTCATAAATATTGTTTGAACAGGTATGGACGGGGTGGCCGAATGTGACAGGATTGGATGATACAGTGTTAGCCATGGTGGGGCTGGACCTTCCCCAACACGACCTCACAGTGAAGCGCGCGCCCAACAAACAGAGGGAATATAAGAGAGTGAGTCAATGGTTTTAATAAGCCTCTATTTAAATAAATAAATATGTTGGGACATTAACACACAGCACCATGTAGTTCCATGGTAAGTTACGAGGCTTGTGTAATGGATACAAGATAGTTGATACACTATAGATATATAACTTTAAATACATACACATTATAAATATAAACACTCATGACTGAGTACAAACGTCCGTGATCATCACACAAATGCCCCCAGTGGGACTCGAACCCGCAACCGCTGGCACAGTAAGTAAGGTCACTACAAACTATGCATCCAGCTTTTTCTGCTGCGTTTATTATATCATCTTTTATATTAATATTAGTATAATTAGCTTGGAACGTGATTTTTATTTACTTATATATAATTATAATTAATATTAGCTACATAAAGTTTTGCTTATGTATGTCAAGTTTATGAAAATATATGGAGAGCCAGAAGCTCAGTGCTTCAGTGAAGGATATTTTGCTTATACTGAAGAAATGTATATAGAATCGATTGGTGAAAAGGCTCTGATAATGCTTGAAGGCACAACGAAAGAATGAACGATTAACAATTTTTATAACATTCATTTAAAGATGAAAAAGTAAATAATAAATTAGTCCTTATTTTTTATTGTAATTTAACTACATATATCATTATCTAGGGTAGTCTATATGAAACAGACAAAAAAACTGTTAAGATTTTTTTAAGTAATAATATTATATTTAATTATTAATTATTTTTTTTTACTATTAGATAATAGTGGAGAGTTCAGACAGTGAAAACAGTTCTGTTGAAGATGTGGAGGACGGCGACAGCTTTCCCACAGAGGACGACATATTTGTTGATGTCCCGTCGGAGAGGTTACAACCACTCAGTGAGTACACTCACTTATTTTAGTATAAGTTGCATTGAAGTATAGTTGTTTGTTTATCCTGCTATTATGGTTTAACTTTTCGTTTATATATTTTTTTATTTTTTTGGTTGAATTGTGTTTTATATCTACACTAATATTATAAAGACGAAAGATTTGTATTTTTGTTTGTTTGAAACGAATAAACTCAAAAACTACTAGACCGATTTAGACGAAATTTGGTAAGAAGATAGTTTGAGACCCTGGGAAAGCCATAGGATATTTTTTTCCGTAAACTAAATTAGTGACTTACTGTTACTGTTAAAACCAAAACACATTTTTTTTTATTTTAATTATTGCATATCTATTGCATTTGTACGTAATGAATGGATTTTTATTAGCAGTCTGTGCCGTGAATATGATTGCTGCAAAGTGTTCGCAACGTCTTGAACCAAAAATCATAATAAACCTGCGAAAATATCCACAAAGATAGAATCATTTCAAACGTCAAATGTTCTCGTAAATCTAAGAAAGCATTTAGAGTTTTTATTTATCTAGTCTTAGTGTATGGACTTGTTTTTGCCTGTGTACTATTAGCATAAACTGCAAATCACTACTATTTTTGACTTTGACGGCCGTTTTGGCGGACTCCGTTTATATAACTCAGTACTCTTAGTTCGAAACCTAATGGAATATATTTGTCCACAAGTGTCAGAAAATGTGGAAGATGAGGCGTTGGGTTGTATAGAGTTCGCTCAACGATTTCGAACTCGGTACGGACCCAATACACCCAATTTCTTCGAAGGTACATTGCAAGACGCAATAAAGGAGTCCTGCTTGAAACCTGCAAAAGAGGTTTGTAAATTTTTAACTTTATTTTTAACATAAAAGTGTCAAATGTTGAATGAATGAAGTGAAAAAAAGCTTGAATACAAATAATTAGTTCACAATTGGCAAAAAGATAGATAACATTCTTTATTGTACACCTAATAAAACAAAGAAATATATCGAAAATTATACAGAAAATAAATGTACAGTAGGCGGCCTTATCGCTAAAAGTGATCTCTTCCAGGCAACCTTGAGGTGGAGGAGAAGTATGTGGCAAAAACGGTAAAATGTATACAAAACATATATACAAAAAGATAATAATTGAATACCTCCTTATTTTACCATGTTAGAATAAACTACAAATTAGATACTGATCAGATATTCTTTTATTTTTTAACCTGTGAAATTATCAGGTATTGAAAACATCCTGTATTTTTTTTTAAATAAAAAATGTAAATAACTTCTAACTTATCATGAACTTAAAAAATGTTATTTGAAAAAAAAGGTAATTGTGGTGCCCCATAGTAAAGCGCTTGGGAAACCGAGTGAAGTGGGTTCGAATTCCCAGTCTTGCACCTCTGTTATTTTCATGTGCGAATCATTTCCAACATGATTACCACTTGTCTTACGGTGAAGGAAAACATCGTGAGAACACCTGCATGTCTGAGAGAACCTAGCAAGTTTTCGAAAGACATAAACTGTCCCTCCGCACTTTGCCAGCGTGTTGGACTATACCTGATCCCCCTTGTATTGAAAAGAGGCTCGTGCCCAGCAGTGGTACTTTAAAAAGGGCTGGATAGAATAGAGATTATAATGATTAAATGAGTATTGTTTCGTGTTATAGAGAAAGTTGCTGGGTGTGTACCTGCATCATGAGCAGTCGGTGCTGTCCAACGTGTTCTGCGCACAGCTGCTGGGCTGCGACACCGTGCTGCAGACGCTCGCCGCCAACTTCGTGCTCTACGGTTGGGATCTCACGCATCCGCATAATAATAACATGTCAGTACTAATTTTAAAATTGTTAGATCCATTCTAATATTATAAATGTGAAAGGGTGTTTGTTTGTTCTTCTTTCACTACGAAACCGAGTGACGGATTGGTGTGATTTTTTTTTTGTGGAGACAGTAGGACTGGAGAGTGACATAGACTACCTTTTACCACGGGAAAACACGTTATAATACAACCCACAACAACTTATCATACATATGTACATTTATAATATTATGAAATCTATTACATACTAATCATTAAAACATACCTAGGAACGAAGAGTCGCTAGTAATTTATAATACCTTCGTGTGAGCAGGTTGCTGTCGGCCATCACGCGCGCGCTGGGCCCGGTGGCGAGCATGACCATCCGCAGCATCCCGGTGGAGCGCCTGCCCGCGCTGCTCATCATCATGCGAGTGCGCTCTAACACCGAGATATATTCTGTTATTAACGGTCAGTGCACCATGTATGAGGTTCTCCCAATAGATATCCGCCACGACGGCAAGTTAAGTGAATCTTTTTTTTTTTTAACGTTGGGAAATGCATTTACGCACGACGTGTGGGACTCACCGGCGTAATACAGCCAGTACTACCCACTAAAACTCAACAAAACCTTCCCCCGTCTTAATGGGGCGTCGCAGGATCGCTTGCGCATTCAACTACGACGCCCCGACGGCAGGTCTGCCGAAGCAGACCACCACAACCATGGGGTTGCTCCACAGTCCACTCTGCTATCAGAGAAGTACCAGGAGCAACCCGCATGGTACACCGCCCCCCAAAGAGGGCCACCTCCCACCGCCCACCGAAGTGGGCAACCTCCCTGTGCGTTTCTTAGCTTCGCGCCCGGTTGGGTTGCCGGGCACTACTGAGCCCCCCCACCACGACAAGGTGAACGCACGTTGGGGGGGAAAGTTAAGTGAATCTAGAGCAGCCATACTCAACCTTTTTTTTATAGGGGCCACAAACACGTTTTAGTCATGGTCTGTTTTCCCTTTTTTCTTTAAACAGAACTTCTAGATTTTTATCTTTTTCAAAATCGATGAACTCATCAAACAACTCTGAGTAAATACAATTTAAAACGGGAGCCAACTCTGAGATGTAACTTCAAATTACACAAGCAAACATTCAAATAACAAAAGCTCGGCGGGCCGCAGGTTGAGTATAGCTGATCTAGAGTGATTACATAAATGTACACATAATATTACAATTTCAATATGACAACATATAAATTCAATGGAAATGAAAACTGACCAAATTTTTACTCCATACGAGTGAAGCCGCGGGCAGAAAGCTATAAAAATAAGAATGGCATGGTTTTATGTAATGGATGATTTAACTTAAAAAAGTCGGAAGGCTGTAAATTTTAGGTGTTTACATAGGGTCTTTAAAAGTAATCTAGATGTTAGCCTGCTAGTTAATAAGGCCATATTAGCCGAGTTACATGATTTTAAAGTTATAAACATTGTCTCCGAGTTATATCATTCTACTCTCTTCCTGTAACTTTGGAAAGATGGAGTAGAAAAATGTGCCAAAAAAAGAGATAATAGAGTTTGCTTACTATTTTAAAAGAAAATTAATGTACAGAATTTATGATAAATATTTTTTTTAAATACTGTATATTTTAAGTTACGATCGCTAAAATTTAATTCGTTTTGCATATTATATTTAAGAAACACAAGTTTATTTTTGCAAGTAATAAAGTATGTACATATGTAATGTGTAAATGTATAAATATATTATAGTGTGTAAAAAATACAGATATTAGTAAAACAACGCAATACCCAGCGGTACGGAACCCTCGATGCACGAGACAAAATTATACTGACACATTTGAAAATCATTATAACTATCAAATTATTATCAGTTATAACATAAAGTCAAAGAGTTTGTTTTTTAGTAGTTTGAATGCGGGCGAAGCCTCGGGTACTGCTAGTTAAATAAATAAATATTCGGACATTAACACACAGCGCCATCTAGTTCCATGGTAAGCTACGAGGCTTGTGTTATGGATACCAGATAGTTGATACACTACACATATACAACTTTAAATACATACATATTATAAATATAATTATATTTAAAAAAGTTTTAAATATAAATGAATGTGTGTGGTACAGGTAACGTGGGCGTGTCGGAGCTGGTGGGCGGGCTGGTGGAGGCGCTGGAGCGGTTCGCGTCGCAGCGCGAGGAGGACGCGCGCGTGGAGCGCGAGCGCGACGCGCGCCAGCGGGTCAAGCGAGAGCAGGACGAGGCCTACCAGCAGAGCCTCGAGGCTGACAGGTGACCTTTGTTTTGGTTATATGTACATATTATATACTTACATGTATGTTAGGGTGGAACGAAAAGATTTTTTTTTCTTAGGTTGGCGGTAGAATTTGTAGTTTATCAAAAATAAAATTATTGAAATAAAAAAAATACTCATTTGACTTGTTACTCTAGCATCTAGCATGTATAGTATATGCATATGTTTGTTTGCTTTTCTTCATGTCTGTCATAATATTATTGGATTTATTAACTGTGTTTTGTACTTAAAAGTAACACAAACAAACTAATATAAAATATTCTGACAGAGCGAAAGAAGAAATAAAGAAACAGCAAGAATTAGAAAGAAATCAAGAATTGGAGAGAGCAGAATCAGAAAGACTTATGGAAGAAGCTAAGAAAGAGGTAACAACAATAAATATGTGTAATGTATAGAAAATATTTCAATGGCATATAAATTATATGTATTTATTTAAATTACTTTAATTCTTTATATATTTGATTAAATTAAACTACATATTTGTGAATTTAAATTATTTATAAATAATTAATCGAGTTTTTTGTAAAACTCAACTGTATTTGTAGGAGTTATTTATTCAATAGTTTTACAGCTTACTCTTAGCAAATGATATAAATTTATATATAATTGATATTTGTTTGTCATCGCCAATTGATTTTGATGGAAATGCTTTCATTGAACTTAAAGGTTGTAAAAAATACGAATTTTTATGGCGAAGTGTTTTGAGTTAAAACACTAGCGCCATCTTGTGCCAGGTTACTGTTATACCCGTCAACCCCAAAGTAGTTGATATGAATGTGATAGGCACAGCCAGTGTCTCTTTCGCACGATTGTCTTGTTTAGCAGCTTTCATTAGACGATCGTAAAGATAAGTGGGTTGTGCTTCTACTGTAGCACATATGAATCATGAGCTCTGTGAAGGTCTCGGTGTATCTTGTACGATGTGCGCAGGCGCTGCGCGCGGGCGCGGCGGCGCGCGTGCCCGCGGAGCCGGCGGCGGGCGCGGGCGAGGTATCGCGCGTGCGCGTGCGCCTGCCGCCGCCGCACCACTCCTGCATCGAGCGACGCTTCCGCGCGGACGACACGCTCGCTGTGAGTACACACACTAAACACCCTATAGCATCTATCAAAAAAGTACTAGATACACAATCAGAGACAAAATATGTCCTAACTAAATGGACGCTCATTTGATGTTTTTTTTTTTGTGAAAACAACTTTAACGCCTCCATGGTTAGTGTCCGGGAAATCAATTGTTAACTGTCATGTCGGCATGTTCGCGTCCGTTGAATCGTTAAGGTTCATTTTACATTATTGTATATTTATTTCAACTAGAATAATTAAATAAACACAATTGGTGACAGTTTTACGAGAACATTTGCATGGGATTGTGTATCTAGTACTTCTTTGATCGATGCCCTATAAATATTATGACACCAAGGCGCAATTAATTTCAATAATATAAAGGTTAATTAATTGCTCGATCATTAACCGGTTAATAAAAACGAACAGCTTAATAGACCCAAATAACAATAGTTAACAGTTTTTCTTAGAGAAAAATTATGCTTAGATTTTGATACCGAAATAAACCGGTTAATTACAGAAAGCTTAATGTATTATTTTATTAGTTATAATTCGCCAAATATAAACGCACAAAAACTATTTTTAACCATGTAACCTTAATTCGTCAAAAACTGTTTTCCGAATTTTAACCGGTTTAAAAAACGAACCTAAACGTTAATTCGAAAGGCGTTTCGGTTTGGTACCGGTAACCGGTTTTGATAGTTGCGGTCAATTACCAAAACCGATTTACAAATTGAACTGGTTTCCGAGCCCTGGTCTAGACACAACACATAAGCCATAGTGCGGATACGTATGTACGCGTATTCGCACATACATACAAACATACGTCTTTTAGATATAATTTTATTAATCAAATCAAACTGTAATTAAAAATTTTGAATTGACGAGTTGCGTCTTAAGGACTGATAGAACTTTTACCATGTACATTTTATAGTTGACTTTAATGAAAAACATGTTTGGAATTTATAATAGAAAATATGATATGAGTAACAGCAGTAAATTAACCTTTTACTATTTACGCAGGCTTTATTAGATTTCCTCGCGTCGAAAGGCTACCCACAAGAGAACTACAAGGTCATCACTAGCTGGCCTAGAAGAGACGTAAGTTTTATATTTTTCTAAGTTTTGTAATGTGTTATGATACTTAGTATTAAGTTAATATAACGATAAAGTCATGTAAAAAACATTATTGTATGAGAATATCGCGCAATTGCTGAATCTAAAATTAACTTTTCATTTATATTTCGCATATAAAAATGCAATTGATTTCCCTTTTAGTTTACATTATTTATAAAAGTTTGTTTTTTTTGCAAACCTAATTATGTTTAGACGCTTGTTTTATATTACTATTTTAACTAAAAACAACTAAAATCCGTTTCGATCGATTATTATTATCTTCAAAGTATAGAAGCAGAACTAACTATATTTAATAAAGATTTTAAGGATTTATCCATCGTTCAAAAATGTACTAGATACACAATCCCATGCAAATGTTCTCTTCAAACTTTCACCAATTATGTTTAGGTAATTATTCTAGTCGAAAAATGTACAACAATGTAAACTGAACCTTAAATGTAATGCCTAAAGTTGTTTTCACACAAACAAAAATTAAAAGCGCTCAAATGTTCAAACGAGCGCTCATTCGATAAGGACGTTTTTTGTTCGATTAAGTATCTAGTATACTTTTTTGATCGATGGATATATCTGAAAAATGTGATTATCTGTTTCAGCTTACAATGGAATCTCACAGCAGTACGTTAAAAGCTTTGAAACTGTACCCGCAAGAGACCGTCATGTTGGAGGAGCGGTGAATGACGAGCACTGGGCCTAGGATATATGTTTCACGAGACACGTTTCAAACCATCACTTGTATCGAAATGTTATGATTTATTATATCTGTATTTATTTTAGTTTCAATTTTAAATTTAAATATTGTAGAAATTTTTTTATCTTTTTTTTTTGTCTGTACCTGCCCATGATACTGCCATTATACGTTTTCATATATTGTGCTGTTTGGTTATCTATGCCAATATGGGTTTTAGACGACTGGTAATACCAATTTAAATATATATATAATTGTAATTTAATTGTTCGGTCCTTTTAAGAATTTCGTGTTTCGTCAAATAATTTAGTGATATATTTTAGAAATATAAATATTGCAATACGTTTATAATTGTAGATCAGGGCCTCGTGTAGGTTTTATATTGCTATTTAATTCGAATAAATATGTATATATAATATAATGATTAAATATCGATTTTAACTAGCATTATATCATTCCACGTATATTCATCACATAGTTCATTCTTTAACAGCAATATCTACGTGAAACATATGAGATCCCGCGGCTCCGGTCGTTTTCCCAAAAGCTAAGGAACGCAAATAGATTTTTTCTTTGTACGCAATTCCCGGTCGAATTGTTTACCTCAAGAGCTCTTTTAACTTAACTGCAGACGTGTTTGATTCATTTATATTTGTATAAATGGTACTGTATGTGAATTGTAAAAGATTTAATAAAATATAATAAAATTTCATCGTTCTGTTAATAAATTCTAAAGTAGTTTTATCCCATAATTTATCATCGTTGGACGAGATGTGATTGGTAAATCGATTTTTATATATTATAATTATTATTATCGACTTTAGTAAGGCCAGTATGCGTGAATATTTTTGTATTAATCGAGTTATATATCGATTTAAAATATTGCTCCCAATAGTTATATTTTCACATCTTTCAGGCCTCGTCCCATGATGACAGCAACTTACGTACTGTACACTAACACTACTAAAACTATCTGATTTCATCGTAATAATAAATCAATGTTGAAAATCCTTATTTTTATAGATATTAAAAAAAATAACCGCATAATTTGAGACTGCTAACCTCTTGCCTCGCGGTGTTCGTTTACCCGCCTTAACATTTAGTGAGAAAAAAATCAAATCAAATGTCTTGGTTATTTTTTTAGCTATGGCAACCCTGGCTAGGTTTTAATCATGAAGACTATAGACAAGGAGTCCAATCTTTATATTTAAATTTGTTCAACAAATTTGAAAAAATAATATTGAAACTGTGAAAATGATGACAGCTCAGTTTACCGAATAAATTATATTTTTTCAATTTTATTTCATTTTCATCAAATCGGCGCATTATGAAACTCATATATTTGAATAGAGGACAGATAAAGAATTAAATAATATCTGAAATATGTTGTCATAATGTCAGGATTAAAATTTTTGAGGTAAAAATCTATATTATATCTATCATTTAAATACAAACTAACGCATATTCAAGTAGTTCCTTTTTAAATATTGTCATCGCTTTATATTCAAATATCTTGGAAATGCACCTTTAGGGTTCCATATTGTTATTTTTACCAATTTTATTTTGCGCCACAAGTTTAGACTCTAGGAACAATTAAAAATGCGGCGGTTAGCATAGTGCTACAATGTTTCTATATTTTTTGGAGCAACACTTATTTTATTCTATACAGTAAAATATTGTGTTTCTTATATTCTTTTTACTTAAAATAATGTAAAATTCATAATATATATATAGAAATAAAAATCCGAGAAATGCGCTTAATTTTTTTAATATTTTTTAGTTAAACGATATATAAATATTGATTTTTTTGCTTTAATTTATTCATAAGCAATTGTAAGCGAGGCATCGGATGTAAATAAATAAGCTATATGTACGGAGAGAATCTACAAATCTCGACCTTTGTAATTTTTCACCAAACCACGATTGTAAATGTATTAAAGAAATTGTACTCAAATATAATAACAGACGGAACGAATTATGGCCTTTAATTTTTTTTCCTAAATTTTATTTAATTTGCTATCTTTTTTATGCGATAGCTCTCAAGCTATATAGGCAACACCCTCAGGTATTTACAATATTTTGTTAATTTTAAAGATTTCTAATTTTCTACAAACAATAAAACTAAAAATATTCAATATATCCATACTAATACTATAAATGTGAAAGTGTGATTGTTTGTTTTTTTGTCTTTCTTTTACGTCGAAACGGAGTGACGGATTGTGGATAGAGATAGTTGGAGGGCTCGAGAGTGACATAGGGTACTTTTTACTGCGGGTGATTATCTAATTTCCACGGGAAAACACGTTATAATACAATCCAAAAAAATTAGGTATGATCGAATTTTTCGAAATTCATCCTTTATGAGGGTGAAATAGGGGATGAAAGTTTGTACGAAACTACCTTTTTAAAGATTTTTCGTAGTTTTAGCGCGATCGAAGCCGCGGGTTCTGCTAGTATATAATTATCTCACACTACCCACAAACCATTCAATTAACATTATTTTAAGTCTTAATGGCGAAAATCATACGGCTTCGTGTTAAATCTATGCACAAAGTTTTCTCCAAGCAATATTACAATGGATATTAACATTCCTAAAGCTAGTATAATCAGAGCGCTTGAGAACTCTCGCAGTGAGATTGAGAAGATACTGCTGTCTGGTGTATGGACGCAGGGCGGCTTGGGTTCATCCCATACCGACTTTAATCTATACATTAACCCCGATTCATATATTTTACGTATCCTGAAACAATATTAACACTTATAACTTATTACAACAGCACGTATACGGTATAACATAGAACTCAGACTAAAGAATTAAATAGACGGATTCCGGCAAATATCATAGACAAAAATAGTAGCGTGATTTACTGTTTATGCTACTATTCTCGATTTTGCCATACAGATCGTTTATTTTCTTTAGTCCTCGCGGTTAAATTCTAAGAAATTGTTAACCGAGCCACCTGTGGCTCCGCGTGCTTTGACAGCGGTTAATTTACAATTTTTGTGAAGAAAATAAAAATAATACTATATTCTTTTGTATTTTTAAGCATTCGTTTGTTTTTTTCTTAAAAGAGAGATAAAAAGTATAATCTTAATTTTTTTTAATTATAATAAAATATGATTGTTTGGTTTTATGTTTAGTTTTACACACTCTTTCTATATATACCTGTTATTCCGATATATTAGTCTGAGCAACGGAAGTAGATCGCTAATTCTCAACAGGTTAAATAGTATTTGGCGGCCTATAAACTAGCTACCTAACGCAACTATAAGCCATATAAAAAAAACTAGCTACCTAAATAGTACATACGTGTAAAACACGTAGATTCATTGCTGCGTAAAAAACGTTAAACTAACACTTTAATTATAATATTAGTAAGGGTTCTCAATTTTGTGATTCAAATCAACCATCAACTAAGTGAAGAGGGTTCAAGGGTTCAAACTTGGATTTCGCATATTTCACATTCTCTCGACAACGTTTTCAAAATACTCACCTACTTGCTTTTGATGCTTTTGCTGATTAATTAACTTGCTTTTCGGAGAAGGAAATCTAACTAGTTTTTGAAAGTTATCTAAAATCCGCTAAGTCGCACATGGCATGGTTGACCATAGATTAATCCCCATGCTGCATGCATTCAAGGAAAGCCTGAGGCAGCAGTAGGACGTTAAAAAAAGAAGTACAATCTAAATCAAAGTAAGAACTTCTTGCAAACCTAATCTTAATGAAAAACACTTTCTCACCCAATAACAACATGTTCCCTGTACGGCGAATTCTTTTGCAGGGCAGCCGCCATACCCTGCGGCGGGTACAAATATATCTCATGAACGTCACAAATCTCGCGTTCACTGAACGTTTCCCTCATGATGCGATAAGCACTAACGCTATCAACATGGTAAGCGAAGCCGCCTGCCTTCACTAGTTGCATGCCATAATCAGGTTTGAAGAAATTATACTCAGTATTTGTTACTATTTTCTTACGATAGAGCTCTAGCGCTACTGGATCTGTTGTACGCTGGAATTGCATAAAATATAGTGATGTAAATAACTACTAATAATACAATTTTATCTTTTACTTTTTTACTATTACCTATTTATTTTTTTATTGTCTTTGGTCACAATCGTTATTCATAATATATAAATAATATAATCGTTATTCATAATATATAAATAATATAATAATAATGATGATCTCCCCACCGACTTCGACCACGGCGGCCAGTCTCATTATAGTAGGGGAGCCCAAGAGGGGATTTTCTGTAGTTACTCGAGCGCGGCAGATTAACATAAAAGAGGTTACATTGAGTACTTTCACCATAATATAAGTCTTCTATATAAAGGGGCGCGTCTAGGGAAGCCGATTAAAATATTTAAAAAATGTTTTGATAAGGTAGAAATACTTGAAACCGTCAGATTAAGGTGTGGTAGGCTAGTCACATCCTGAAAAGTGTCCAATTTAATAATCTGCCGATTTGCACAAGCCTAAGAGGCAAAAATCATCATAAACTTTATAGTCGACTTTTATGTTAATCTGCCGCGCTCGAGTAACTACAGAAAATCCCCTCTTGGGCTCCCCTACTATTAAGACTAGCCATCTGCGCAGAAGATATCATAGCTTACAAGTCTACGCGCAGACACAGGTGCACTCTCTATTCCTGCCACTCTCATACTCCGGTGGGACGACTGCTCGACACGACCGGTAAGAGTTAAGTCACAGGACCGACGGCTTTACGTGATCTCCGAGGCACGGGGGTGGAACACAGCCAACTTCCCATCTATGGGCTGTTATTGAGACTAACTACACAGAAAGATTCAATAACTAAACTTGGCCCGACCCGGGACTCGAACCCAGGACCTCTTGATGTGCAGCCGTACTTGCAAGCCACTACACTACCGAGGCAGTTAAGCCTGTAATATTATGTGGTTATTACCTAACTCGAACGCGTTTCATATAAAAAAAATTGCATATATAGAAATTTAAGCTCATTATATGACTTATATATGGATGAAGGACAATTGTTAAACAGCGACAAAAAGATGTGTACAAACCCTAAAGTAGTCTTTGTTGTAAAGCACATCCTCGACCCCCGCCTTCAAGCTACTTTTAAGCAAATCTTTGAGATTTCTAATGCTCTTGGGAGGTTCTCGCAATAAAGTTGATACCACTGTAGCGTTGTAATACTGGTACAATGTCAGCGTGAATACTAAAGTTACGAAAATAACGATCTTTATAGATATCGAGCCTCTATTGAGAGTAGTGCCTGGAAAATGAATATAATCAATAATTAACAGGTACCTAAGAGATGCCTTTACATTAAACGAACGCAGTAATTATTTGAACGTGATTAAGGATTTTAAGGATTTTAACGATTTCAACCTGTATTTCAGATTAGTTTTTATCTGCAACATCTTTTTAAAAATTTGTAGCAATAGCAGCCTTTATCCCTTTGCATACGGATTTAAAAATGGTTTTTTATATTTAACTAGCGGTTCACCCTCGCTTCGCTCGGGTTCGTCTCTAGTTACGCTTTAAATAGATATAAATAGTTATTAGCCAGCGTAAGCCCTATACAATCATTTGAATATATTTTTTCGTAAATTTTTCTGATTTTTTTATAGTTATTCTGCTATTCGGGGCGGAGACATATCCAACAAATCAAAAACCGTGAAATTCGGTCCTGCAGTTCACGAGTTATAAGTGTTGTAACAAACTCCACTTTGTTTTATATATATAAATATTTATTAAGTTTTTTATAAAGTGAAAATAAACTAAGATTTTAACTTTACCTTGTTGGCTTATCGCACTAAATATAAATATGAAAGCCATAGACGAGGAAGAGTCTCGATCGTCCCCAGTTGTTTTTATAATACTAATCTTCAACATGATGCATACAACCAACCCAGCAAGAGTTAGTGTGAAAATAATCCAATACCAGACAACATTAGTCAAAGGTCGAGTAAATACTGTATGAAAACCTCCTGGGTATTTAGGGTGACGCAGAATAAAGCAGGGCCTTAAAATAAAAAAATCATAAGAGTTCAACCAGCGCTAGGGGCACTCGTGGCTAGTGTCCAGGGCGGCAAAATTCGGAAGGCGGGAAAAATATTTCGTCGCGTTATCGAAGATGCTTTTTTTATCTCCAAAAAAATGAAAAATAAAAAAACATTAACTAGTAGGTACATTTTTCGAAAAATTGATATCATTTATAAATTATTGAATTTCATTTAGAAAAAAATTAAAAATATTTAAACTCTCAATATTTTATTCAAAATTTCGATAATAGGGCGGCATTTTTTACAGTACCCAGGAGCGGCGCGCTGAGGTTAAATCCGGCACTGCTTATGACTCATATATTTTAAGATTATGTTGATACCCACGATAGAAATAATGAGGTTCTAGACCTAAGGGTTCATTCAGTCAGGGCCTAATTTCTAACTCTTCTCCGTTCATCACCCTTTCGTAGTACCTATCTTTATGTATCTATTTAACCGTAGGTATGTATATTTATACTATATACCTAATTCATTAAAACCAAAATTATTTAACATCAGATAAATCAAATTGGTAGTGTCTGTTTGTAATGTCAGAATAGCAGCTTTTTACTAAATGCATATGAAATCATATACGATACTTATAAAAAAGAAACACATTTTTTTTTAATTTTGTTTGTCTGTCTGATTGTTCCAGCTTAGGTATATCAGAAATGGCTGCACTGGTTTTGACGAGACTTTCACTTGCAGGTAGCTGATGTTATATTAAGGAGTAACTTAGGCTACTTTTATTTTAGAAAAAGAATTAGCGTAATAAAAATTAAAATATTCCTGAAAACGCACTCGAGCAAAGCGAGGGTAAATCGCCAGTAATTCATAAAATTTCTTTACCGTACTACAAAAAACAAACTTTGATACCTGGATTGCCAAGTAGGAGTTGCGTAGTCGATAAACCTTGATCTGTCCGACCTGAAAAAGATGGGAGTCCCTCCTATATCTGCTTCACGTCCCTGCAGAGACCCGACAAGACCGTCAAAGCTTCCATTCCGTAAATATCCCCAAGAGTTGGTCCTCCGTAGTTTGATGCTTAATTTGAAAAACCATATAATTTAGAAAATCTTCGACACGTTTTAATATATTTGCAAGAAAAACCACATTTACCTGAAGTTATATATATTCCTCAGATACTTTATTAACGTATAAAATTTCAACTTGTGCACAGAATCCACTAGCACACCGGGTTTTGTATGATCCAAGTAGTGTTCAAACGTTTCGTTCGCAATGGGATCGATAACTACCACCACGCTTTTTAGAACTACCCCCATTAAATCTACCCTTTTGCTGGGTGTCATATGCAATTCTGTATCCAAGTAACCAAGCTCCGCAATTACAAACGAGCCGTTGGTGTAAAAACCTTTATTAAAAACTTCGAACAAATTATATACTTTCTTTAAGTCGTCTTTTGTAATAACTATAAAATCTGAATTAATGTCTACAGGGTATTTTGATACAGCAACTGCTGTGCCTTGAACGTCGTTAGTGTATATCAACCATGTACATGATCCTCGGAAATATCTCTTATTGGCGGTACTCAAAATAAGCTCCCAGAAACTACATCGGGTGTCCAACATAAACGCAAGTTTGAAGTTACCTAAATTTGGCAAATGCGTAAAATTCTCTGTTCTAAACGATGTGACTCTTATATTATTTTCATTGAATATTTTCTGGTTCAAAAGAATATGGTTATTTGCACTACAATGAAATAAAACTGCATTTTCTATATTTTTTGATTTTAAAATTTCCAAGTAAACAGGAAGAATGGTAGCGGAACCAAAGTCTAATATAAAGACGATTGCAAATATATTCATCTTTGCCTTCAAAAGCCACAGCCCTCAGAGTTGAAAATGAAGCAAATAAAAGAAAATATTTTTTATAACATTGCATTTTATAGCATAGGTAGTGATATTCTTGATATAATTCTGTGATTGCAAGTGACAAGAAAATTAATGACAACAGCTATTACTGTCAGCATAAAAATGAATTTAATACGTATATGTGAGTACTGAGTAGGGCTATTATCTAAAAAAACACTTTGATTTCTTAAAGACCTATTTATTTTATTATATTAGTAACGGTTTCAAGAATATATTTCTATTGCCATGATCTAAATTAAAAAAGTAAATCGATGTCAAAATCACTTTAAATTAAATTATTCCTCTCAAATGGGTAAAACTTTTCCTTAAATTTATATGGGACAACTCTTTACCACTATTACCTTTAATTCATTAAAAATAATAGGTATATAAAACACAACAATAAAATACACACATGAAGTACATTTCTATTCTTTTTTTAAGTCGATTAATTAGTAATAACACAGATCACATAATAATATACTAGTACACAGATGCTTCATCGAATACAAAGAAATTAGACAGCGCTAATTCGGCCTATTTTTGTATGCTTGAATAGATAATAGATGTCGTCGATTCGCAAATTGTTAAACTGTTTCATTTTATAAATATGTATGCGCAAACTTATGGTAATAACATAAAATTCATTCTGCATTCAAATAATTTATGTGATTTTATAATTTTTTAACAAATTAATAAAAATTAAAAACGCCAGTTGTGTACAAACTACAAACCCATAATCTGATTGCTGATATTTCAGTAAAATTACGCAAATTTGATTTACGGGCATATTATTTTGTTTCCTTTTACTTAGATTTTTTATGTTATGTAAACTTAACCGAACTTTAGTAACAAATCGATACATGTGATGTCATCTATTGACATTTATTTGAATTAATTTTTCTTTATACGTAATGAGACCCCATGGTAATAGACATAATACTAGCTATTAACCGCGTTTTCATTGTCTTTACTCTATTCTCTCTAAAAAAAACCCCCGAATCCCGATATAAACATTCTCCCTCTTCCTTTACGTATTTCATTAAAAATTTATATTTAACTATCTTCTGTGAAATCTATGACACAAATCAGTTTAAGTAGTATGTACCTATTACTTAATTAATTATCAATATCCTAACATCTACCAAGTGTGAGTTGGATTCATAGAACATATGTTCCGCACATGAACGAATTAACCACAATTCGTTCATGGTTCCGCGATCACACGATTTGTGGTTGATATGATGTATTTAATAAAACATATAATTATGTCCTTCCGCCGTTATTCGAGGCCTAATAAACAATATTGAGATGACATCTTCCGTTTCCGGCCGCTTTTAGTCGTTGTAGTTCCCTTTAATTTAAGAAAATATGACAACTTCCGGCCGCCATGTTCACCAGGCCATTGGAGTTCCTCTTCATTGGCGTCTTGATTTTCGTGCCGTAAAGTGTTTATTTAACGCTGTTAGCGTTCGAGGAATATAATTTTTCTAGAATTTTTCAAATTATGTTACGTTGTAGTTAGTTAATATAAATTGTTCTGTAATTCTGTGATTTAGTGTAAATATCGTTTAAAAGGTTTTGTTAAACTACCTACAGTTTATCGTAATTGTTTTCAAAGTGCGTATTTCTTAATAAAAAACGAAATAATGTCGGAAAGTGATGAAAATGTGCGTGATAAAAGTGTACATGAGGGCGAGCTGACGTCGTCCTCGTCTACCAGCGGCGAAGAGGATCCGCCGCAACGTCGTAAACGAAAGTTGTCTAGGAGGGAGGTAGGATGTCAGAAAAAGAGTAAGGTATTAGAACACCTTGCTGAACAAGTAAGTCAAATTCAAAATTATTTGGCTTCCAATGCATATCCTCCGTCGGGTTGGTACCCCGCTGACCCCGGGTATCATCACCCATTAGAAACACATGTAGAAAATCTGGTGCCAACCAAACAGGATGCACATTTAGTTGAGGTACCCGCCGAGTCGGCCATTAAATTTGATTTTAATTTAAAAACGAGTTTAAAAGAACCTACAGTATTGAGTACGTCTTCCGATCATTTACAATTATTAAATTCATTTCAACATTTTAATTCTGAAAATTGGACTAACGTTCGTTACTCCGAAATTCAAAAGTTATATAATGCCAGACCAGGTTTTGTTGAACTTGAGGTGAACGATGAAATTAAACAGTTTGATAAAATAAATAATTTAGTTACAATTAGGCGATTCTTTAGGCGCAATTACGCATGGCATAATTATGCAAAGCGATGCTTTAAAATCAGGAGTATTTGATTTACTGCAGTGGGTACAAGATACCGATAATTTTGTTAAAGACGATCTGGTAAAGAAAATTAAAGATATATTTTCGGGTGAATTTCAAAAGATATCTCTTGATTGTTTACAATTGCTTTGTGGGCGTCGAGCCGATATTATTGAACAAAGACGAGAAGCATTCTTGAATTTAGTAAAAGATAAATTTCTAAAAACTACCTTAAAAAAGATACCTCCATCCTGTGATTTTTTATTCAGTAAAGAGCAATTTTCAGACTTTTTAAATAATAATGGGGGCATTAATAAAATATTTTCAAGACCTTCCTTCTCTGCGCAAGAGAAGAGAAGTACTGGTACATCTCAGGCTGCGCAACCTGGATCCAGTAGTTACAATCGAACCGGTCGCCCCACAGCACCGTTTGCATTACAATGTAGAGCCCCTCAATATCCGTATAGGTCGTATGCTCCTATGCAACCCTATGCATTTAATTACAATTTTCCAGCTTATGCTGGAAATCAGCGGCTTTCTCGACCTCAATACAAGCCACAATCATTTACCGCGGGTCCACAAGCCCCGAGTAACCCTAGGAAATCATTTAATCAACACGGCGCATCCAGCCAACACATTAGCGTCAAAAGAAGAGGGAGAGGTGGTAAGAACTTTTGACAAAAAACAGACGTTTCGGGGGGGCAGATTAGGGATGTTCCGGGAGATATGGAAAAGGTTAGGCGCACCGACCCCCTTGTTGCACATTATAACAGGTTACAAAATTCCTTTCAAAGCACAGCCCCCGCTTGTTTTACCGCACCTCACCAACAATCGGTATCAGACTGTACCAACTTGCAGGATGGATCAAACAATAAACAATCTAATTACAGAAAGAATTTTAGAATATGCACCCGTAACTCCCAGTTTTTTATCCACCCTCTTTTTAACACCGAAAAAAGATGGTACTTTGCGCCTCATTTTCAATCTGAAGAGACTAAATCATTTTGTAAAAGTGACAAAGTTCAGACTTATCTCGGTTCATCGCATTCCGGACTTTTTACAGCCGAACGACTGGATGATAAAAATCGATCTGACGCAGGCCTACTATCATGTGCCGATAGCTCCGTCTCATCGGTGTTTTCTAAGACTGCTGTACAGAGGTCAACTCTTACAGATGACCTCTTTGCCATTTGGTCTAGCAACGGCTCCCAAAGTATTCGCATGCCTCTCAAATTGGACAGCAGAAATCCTAAGAGAGCAGGGGATTCGAATTGTAGTTTTTCTCGACGATTTTTTAGTTGTGTGTCAGAACAGGTCAAAGTTGGTAGAGCAAACCCAGGTTGTTCTCAAAACTCTAAAAGAGTTAGGATGGATCGTCAACACATCCAAGTCAATCCTAGTCCCCCAGAGGTCGTTGGAGTACCTAGGTCTAGTATGGGATACCTGGAACAACAAGAAAAGCCTGCCACAGAAGAAAATTCTGGGTCTACAGACCACTATAGCAAGATTTCTCACACAACAACAAGCGACGCTTCGGGAAGTTCAAGGTCTAGTAGGGACCATGAATTTTGCCCGTCTGGCTGTCCCACAGGGTCGATTAAACTTCCGCTATCTCCTGAAACATTGCATATCTATGCTTCAAAACAATGTCAAGGAGAAAACTCCGCTACCAATACAGGTAATGAAAGAACTCAAGTGGTGGAGGCAGAACTGCGACAGGTCGTCTCTACTTCACCTTCCACTTCTTAACGACAGACGCTGCCGAGACCGGCTGGGGAGCAGAATTAAACGGGGTACAGATACGGGGCGAATGGTCGAGAGAGGAATCCAGAATTCACTCGAATCAAAAAGAAATGTTGAGCATATTGAAGTGTCTTCACCAATTCGGTCCTCTTCTAAGCCATTCATCGTTGTTACTTCAGTGCGACAACAAGTCGGTCGTAGCGTATCTACGGAAAGAAGGAGGAAGTCGATCGGTGCCACTAATGAGCCTGACTTACAAAATTTTCAAAATTCTAAATCGATTCAATATTCATCTAGTTGCACATCATATTCCCGGAAAGCTCAACGGTGTTGCCGATCGCCTATCTCGGAAGTCGATAATTCCAGAGTGGCACCTTCTTCCTGTGTTGACACAGGCAGTATTTCAAAAATGGGGCGTCCCGGATGTGGATTTATTTGCGTCCAGTCGTGCCCATGTTGTTCCAAAATATGTCAGTCTGGATCAAACGGATCGAGCAGCGTGGAGACACAATGCGTTCGCTTGGGAATGGAAGTTCAGACTAGCGTGGATATTTCCGCCTCCGAACTTAATGCCAAGAGTTCTTATGCATCTCAATCGAGCGGTCGGCATATATCTAATAGTAGCACCGAGGTGGCCGCAGGCGTTATGGAGAGCGGATTTAAAAGCTCGAGCTATAGCACCCCCATTCAAAATCTATCAACTAGAGTCGAAATTGATAGATCTGTCGACGGGCCGTCCCCCGCCAAAAGTAGAAGATCTGACTCTCGAAGTTTGGAAATGTGGGGGTGGTCTGAAGCAGTAGAATCATGGTCTACTCAACAGAAGGCCTTATTGATGGCAGGATGGCTAAAATCCACCCTTAATACATACAAACCTGCTTGGGAGAGATGGGTAAAATGGTGTCAATCCTCAGATATAAGCCCTATTAATCCAGTAGGTGCCGATTTAGCACAATATTTGGCGGATCTTCATTTTAAACATAGGTTATCTTATAAAACTATTTTAGTTCATAAATCTGTAGTCGCTACCTTGTGTACTACCGAGAATAATGCTAAACTAAGCTCTAATATATTAGTGAAACAAGTATTAAAAGCTATCGCGGCTAGTTATGCTAAGAATCGTGTCGAAACCAACATTTGGGATACAAATATTGTCATATCTTGGTTGTCGAGTAGAAACCCGCCTATTCTAAATATGTGGGAAATATCACGACGTTGTGCTACTCTACTTTTACTTTGTTCTGGGCGTAGAGTGCATGATCTAACACTGCTAAGTATATCGGACTCTAACTTTATAGATGACACTGAAGCTAACTGTTTAACATTTTGGCCCATTTTCGGTTCTAAAACTGATTCTGTGTCTTATACTCAATCAGGTTGGAAATTGTACTCGAATAATGGGAACCCTAATATAGATCCTGTACTATGGGTAAGAAAACTAATACAATTCGGAAAGGATAGACGTAGAGAAGGAAAAGTAAATAACCTCTTTGTAACAGCCCGTGGACCCGCTAAAGCTGCTTCTCGTACTGTAATCGCAGGCTGGGTAAAATCTGTTTTGTCTGACGCGGGCGTTGATGCAACACCAGGTAGCGTGAGATCAGCTGTGGCGTCCAGGGGTTGGTTAGATAGTGAACCATTGGACAAAATCCTATCTAGAGCTAATTGGAAGTCTGTAAAAACTTTCTCAAAGTTCTACAAAAAAGAAATAAGACCATTGCCTAATGTAACTTCAGATAGCGTCTCCCTAAGAGCGTTGTTTAAACCTGTAAGATAGTAATCTACTTTTTTTTTGCGTAGTGATTTGTGATTATTTATCTAATGATTAACTGAAATGTTATTTGACAAAGTAATAATGAAGGAAAAAAAAATATATATTATATATATATATATATATATATATATAAAAAAAAAAAAAAAAAAAAGAAAGAAAGGATATAATTAAAATTGATGTATAAACTAAATGTAATTATAGTAGTTGGTATTTATCTTATAATCACATTGGCGTCTTGTTCACCAGGCGATAACAAACACTGTCTCAATATTGTTTATTAGGCCTCGAATAACGGCGGAAGGACATAATAGCAGAGTTTTACCTACCATTAAAACTCATATTATGTCCGGAGCCTTATTCGAGGCCTAACAGTAAATTCTGCCTGGTGTTATTTAAGTTAGATATAAGTAGCTAATTGAGACCACAATGAAGAGGAACTCCAATGGCCTGGTGAACATGGCGGCCGGAAGTTGTCATATTTTCTTAAATTAAAGGGAACTACAACGACTAAAAGCGGCCGGAAACGGAAGATATCATCTCAATATTGTTTATTAGGCCTCGAATAAGGCTCCGGACATAATATGAGTTTTAATGGTAGGTAAAACTCTGCTATTATGATGAAAATATGAATATAATAAAACTATGTTCTGCTAGTTATTCATAATAGAATATTTTAAGGCTTACTGCACACATTAAATCTGAGTAAAAAAATGTTTTTACCATTGAGGGTTTTCAAGATCTGATCAATCATTTATTTAGTTTTTCATAATTTCTCTGTTACATTATCTTAGAAATAAAACAATTATAAATGGGAATATATTGTATTACACTCAGTACCTCTCAATTAATACTATTAATAAGTGACAATCAAAGGAAAATCGTAACAACTAATAATCATATGTTGAGAATACATCTTGGAAAGGAAATTCAGCCTTGTCTGGTACTAAAAGGTCAGCTAAGAAACATACGGTCCCAGCTGTCCCTTCATATAAACTCTGTGGGTTATCGGGAAGCCTTGCATCTCTTAAGAACTCATCAGTATTCATAAAATCGGCAAAAAGTTTAGCTCTTTGCACATATTTCTCAACTCCTGTTAATCTATATAAAAGTAAAAACACATATCCATTGCCAGCAATGCCATGGCATATCCCAGGACCTTTACGAAGTAACCCCTTATTCCAAACAACTTCACCAGCTTTCACACAGGCATCGATGAATTTCTGGTCTTTGAATATTAAATAGGCTTTTGCCATCAAATAAATCACACCAGGTGCTCCATGACACCAGTGGACCAGTTTATGATCAGACAAACCAATTTCTTCCATACAACAAGGCCAATTACCTTCATCAGTTTGTATAGAAGCTATGTATTCTACTGTAGCTTTAATATCATGGGCAGCTGACTTATTATAATCTAAATAACCAGGCACAGATAACAGCATTTGCAAAATGAAACTTACACCATGTGCTGCACCTAAGTACTCAGTATTATAATAATGATACATTAATGGGCATGGACTTTTGTGTTTTTTTGAATATTCTCGACCAGATATAACCATCATGTCACAGATTTTATACAATTCATCATCTGTAAAAATTCGAGCTTGAAGCTCTCGGCTCATCCATAAAGCACCAGCAAGATACCCAGCTCGACCAACAAAAAATTCGTCTCCTCCACATTTAAGGAACTTCGGATTTAAATAATAGCTATAAAGAGCTTTGTACGTTTTTAAATTTTCTGCAAAATGCTCATCACCAAATTCTTTCTTTAGCACAGTCGCTAATGCGTATGTGCCAGCATCTCCAAGCAGGAAGGAGGTTTTATCGCCAGCCGAAACTTCTAACGCTGGAGCGAGATATTCTAAAGCTTTTTCGATATACGTACTTTTATTTTCCGAAAGCAACGTATTTCTAGATAAATAATAAAACATATACGATACGCCGGTTACTCCAACGTACAGCCCTCCATCAACATTTTTATGAGATGGCTGCAGGCGCTTTGTTATATTATTAATATGACTATTTATTTGTTCAATTATTTCATCTTTATTAAGCGCTACTCCTGCTCCAGGTTTGTAATCCTCATAAGGATTTGGGAAAAATCTCACCATCTTTAATTCGAAAGGAAGTATAGACAGAAAAGCACGGAAATTGTGTAGCGAAAACACTTTCGGCACAATTTTATTCATTAATAATATTTAATCCATTAAAATTTATTTTTTATTGAAGGGATATAATTTAATTTTCTCTTTTGTTTTCAAAAATATTTTCAAAACAATTTATGTCAATTGATTGATAACTCGTACCAAAATTTTGGAACATTGCATTTTTAGGACAAATCCAAACTAGCAACTTTAATTAACTATTTTATGCTTACATCATATATACTTAAAAAATTAAAATATTATTGTTCAATCAATTAAAAAAAATCTTATACTGTGTGCTTTTAAACAATAAAAAAATGTAACCAGTTTTATTAGAAAACTGCGTTAGACGATTGAAATATTTTGGTTACTAAGCAACAGTTATGAACCTAATAAAATGGACCAAAACTGCCTTTTTTACGAATTTATATTCATGAAAAGAAATTTATGTGAAATGGGGCCAATTAAACAATAAATAATTATACAGTTGTTAATCTACTGTTAAACTAATGCCTATTACATATAGTCGTGGAAATGTAATGTCGCAGTTGATGCTTATAGCTATTAATTAATGTTGAAAGTTTTTATTTATTATAAAATATTGTAGGTGAGAAAATTAGCTTTTCGAGCAAGAGGAAAGTCAGCACAGTCTCTTGATGTCAGCGCACCGCGAGTAGATACAAATGCTGGTGGAGATGGTCGACAATTTCTTCAAATACGACCTGCTTTGGCTGATCATCGTAATGCCACATTACAACGCTCTAACACAATACTTTCTGGGTACTACTTATATTCTCAATTTGCCATAAATGAAAGGAGGAGGAAACATTTTTTTCGTTTCTTTTATTATATTCAATTATGTTCAATAAGGTATTTTCCAATAAATTATTTATTTTTCAGAAATAGTTATGTATGTAAGGAAGATGTTAAAGAAGATGCCATTAATCTACAAGCTGTGGGTGAAGGTAAAGTGCAACTATCTAGGACTCCACAAGAAAAAGATCGTTTACCCGATAGGATAAGCCTCGACAGGTACAAAATATTTTACATTATTTTTCTTCCAACACATAATCATAATACCTACTATGATTGCCATGATTTTGGTTTGATTGATCAATTGTAAAATAATAAACGTGCGAATTTTCGCATTTACATCTACTAGATACAAAAAGGAAAAGTTTAAATACTCAAATCCGTTTTCCATATGCTAATTACTTATTTCTATAGATAAAAAGCGGTCTTTGATCTTTTAATTTTCAGACGAGGACTTTCTTCAATACCACATATCGTAGGAGAACCCGGGCTACGCTTACTATCACTACAGCATAATTTAATAAACACGCTGTCTGGATTGTGCCCTTTAGATTTAAGCAAATTAGTTTTCCTCGATGTTTACGACAATCAAATTGATAAAATATCATCGCTTGAAAGAGTCTTCAGTCTAAGAGTATTATTAATGGGCAAAAACAGGTGAGTCAATATTGTATCCTATTTTGGTAGTATTTTATTGGATATTCTTTATTTAATTATATCTATTTACAGAATAAAGAGAATAGAAGGTTTATCAAATCTGTTGAAATTAGAAGTATTAGATTTACACGGTAACAGGATAACAAAGGTAGGAGGCTTATCTAATCAGAGCGAGCTCAAAGTTCTTAATTTGGCCGGTAATCAAATAAAATGCATTGGGCAAATGGATCTTCAAGGATTGGTATCTTTACGAGAATTAAATTTAAAGCGGAATAGATTGAGAAAGTTGCTGGGCTTTCAAAATACAATTAAACTACAAAAATTATATCTTGGAAATAATGATTTGCAAAGGTAAAATTTCAATTGTCAATTTTGTAAGATAGAAATAAAATATGTATCTTATGTCTTAAAGAAATAGGGTACATATTTAAGAATCTATTCTTTTAGCATAGAAGATGTTTCATCCGTAGCGGAAGCCACCACATTAACAGAAGTATCTTTAGATGGAAATCCAGTAGCTCTAGGCGGTGACTGCACACCATTTTTAGTGTCTTATCTCCCAAATCTTGTAACTCTTACAAATATGCATGTCAGCGATCAGGTAATAATATAATATAATTATATATTCTTTAATCTGCAAAAAAAACTGTGGAGTAAAAGCCTTCGCGAGCCTCTTTTATTTCAATTGATTGTGGCAAATAATGTGGTTTTTGTAGTACAGCGATTTATCGGCTTAAAGAAGATACCAGATTAATTGAACTTAAAAACATCCGAGACTTAATCTAATTATCTGATTTAATAAGCTAGTCTCAATGAGGCTGGCCGCCATAATCACAATCCCGTTAGACTAAAAGAGGGACATAATTTCTTACAGGTTCGTCGAGCTGCAATGGCTTGGCGAAGTAACAAAGAAGCAGCACATGCAGCATATTGTGCACTCAGTGGTTCCGCTCAACAAGCCGCTCGGCGTGATCAAATAATACACAATGCACGAACTAATTGGGAATTACTAAGGTTTTATTAATGTCCAACCGTTCATATTTACAAATAAATTTACTATAAATATAATATACTTCCTGTTTTATATTAGCGTTTTAGTTAAAGAAAATCTGAAAATTATGTATTAGTTGTAATATTTCAGATCAGAAAACAAATGCTTCGGTAATACTGCAAGTCCACTTAAACAAGTAGACATTGAAAAAGAGCTTAAACTTCAAACATCTTCAGAAGCAGTTACTCAAACTGACGACACACAAGTTGTTCCAACTTCCGTGATCCCTGATCTCATAGCATCTACAAGACATGTGGAAGCCGAAGATTCAGATTCCAAAGTAAATAATAGTGATACTAGCCGTAAAACTTCCACTGAAAACTTAAACTCTAATCCGCCACTACGAAAGTTGCAAAGAAGTTCAACTGCTCGAAAACCTTCTGAAAGACGTGTAAACTTTTCTGAGCGAAGTGCTTCGCAGGAAACAGATGCATCTCATTCAACGTCTACTAGTAGTGATCTAAGATTACCACCAATTTTACTGCCAATAATATCCTCACTGGAAAACGTTAAACTATCCGACAGTTCAGAACCTATTTTAAAAAGATGGGAGAGTATTTCAAGTGTCGATCCAGTAGGAGATTCATCAATTAGTTCCTTACCCTCTTCTACTAGTGACAGTGAAGAAGAATTAAACAAAAGACAATTCCGAAGGTGTCCTACAGTGTTAAGAAGAAGAGAAAATTTTGGCACAATGCGATCTAAATCTGTTTGCGATCCGGAAAGTAGAAGAATAAAAACGAATATCAAAAATTGTGACAACAGTGAGAATGCTAGTAACATTTCTTGTAATACAAACCAAGGTTCTATTGCAACGTCTTCAACGTCGGGTAGTGACAATAACAGTAAAACTTTAAAACGACAAGCTTCTCTCAATAGTAGAATAAGTAATAGAAACATACGCAGTGCTACCATAACAAGAAGAAGTGAAAGAGCGTCATCAGCACATCGAGCGTCAACAGCTCGAAGTAAGCCGAAGCAAACTAATTTAGCAAATTTGAAATCATCAGAACCAGTTTCTAAAACGATCCCGATGTCAAAAGATAGAGAGCAAGGGGTCGACTATTTAGTTGAAGTAAGCGATGGACTGGTAAGTGCGTGGGGTGCTGGTGCAGTGCGTCGTCTAGCACGCGAATGGGAGTGGGAGCGAGCCCGGACTGTAACAAAAGCTGCCTTTCATTATGTCCATTTTAATGCCGTTGCTCAATCGTTGCCAGAATTAAAAGCAAAGTAAGTGTAAGTTTAATATGACACGTTAAGATAAATCAAATAAAGTAAAAAAGATATACTATAAGTCTTACCCGTGGCACCGCTCACGTAGTAGATACATTAATATAAACGGGAATATCTATCATACCTCATTTCAAATTTCATCACTTCACAAACCTTTTTTATAATATTAATGCGTTTTTAATAAATGTTTGACTTGAAGCTTAATACTCTTCATTTCCCACTTCGTATTTTTTTATATTACGGTTTTCTTTTACCTAAATGTGATATTTCTTTTGCCATAATACAATTTACTTTAATTTATCACCCAGATTTCCGAATGTTACCCACCTGTCGGTTCGTGCAACTGGGCTTCAACACTTAGGGCAACTACACGCTTTAGCTGAGCTACGAGGATTAACAGGTTTAACTATAATGCCAGAAGGTAATCCTATCTTTATGAAAACCTGGCGAGAGTACGCAATATACAGACTTGCTCATTGGGGACTCAAGGAAATTAACGATGAACCGGTAAATTATGACATAATATTATTGATGCCAATTAGAATTCCCTAGTCGTAGTAGCTACCTAACAGTAATAGTTTTAATTATTTTAATGTATTTGTATACTTTTACTCTAAACCAGACTATTCTAGACTCATAAACATCAATGCTAGGTTAGCGACTTACAGTTACCCATGGAAAGTCTGCTCAGCTCCATCAGTATACTTTATTTTACGCAAGTCACTACTTTATAGCTGAATACTACATGAAACTCTCTCTGTCTAAAAAAATATTAAATAGATCAGTGACTTTGCATCCCGTGAGTGTTACCCTGGGCGGCTAACAGAACTACTTGTTACTCGAGAACCACATATTATGACTTTCTAAGTTTCATCAAAATTCATTGCATTTCAGCATGAAATAGTAAAAAACATACACACATATACAAATATTTTAATAGTCATCCGAAACTCATGTGTTTTTTTATCCTTGTAGGTAACCGATGAAGAAATAAAATCTGCTAATCAAACGTATAATGGCTTAAGTGATATAGTACTACGTGCGTTACCCGACGCTCCTTTGCAACCTCTACTTTCTAGGCTAGGCAAAAACGGGAATAGTTCCGCCAGTGCTAAGGCTTGGCTGAGAGCCGCCGATCCTGCTCTAAGAGATGTTATCGCTAAAGAAGCACTCCAATATAAAAAGGGACACGTCTCGCAGGTATTATTATTTTTATAATTGATATTTTATTTTGTCAAATAATTTTTGTAATTTTAAAGTTAGAAAATATATTTTTTTTCATATACTTCATATGTTTAGGAGGATATGAACTGGAGAGTTCGTGGTGGTGGTCAACTGTCACACGCTATTGAATTGGCATGCGGAGCCGCTGTACGTCTTCGCACCCTCGAGCTCCAATGGCCTACCATATTTGTTGATATGATTGAAGATGTGCTAAAAGATTTCGCAGACATGGATTCCCATGTTAAAGATCAAATGCGTATGCTCATGGACTCTTTGTGACATTCTTTACTTTCGTTATTAAGTAAAATTCATTTTGAATTTAACATACCACAATTGACTCAAATCATAAAATTTGTATAGTTATCGTGGCTATATATAATTGTATGAGCATATGACATTTTGTAGCTAAAATATCGTATAGAACTCTAATTGTTTTTATTTTATATTAAATTATTGTTAAATAGATAAATATTATACAAATTTAATAATCACAGTGATAAATCATCATTAGAACTGATACGTAATTCACATACCTAGTTGCTCAATAGAATATAAAGCAGGAACCAATAAATAAAGAAAATATTTTGTAAAATCACTAATTTAGATTTAAGTTTGTATTTATATTATGTAGAAATAAACCAGTTTATTAAAATTAGGTATTTGAATTTCATTAGTTTTCATTTACAAGTAGGTAAGTATACAGGATATTTTCATGTGCGAATCATTTCCAACAAGATTACCACTTGTCTTAACGATAAAGGAAAACATCGTGAGGAAACCTGCATGTCTAAGAGAACCTAGCAAGTTTTCAAAAGACATGTAAAGTCCGCCAAATCACATTTCATCAGCGTGGTGGACTATGGCCTGATTCCCCTCGTACTGAAGAGAGGCCCGTGCCACAAAGGGCTGAATACATACAGGATGGACTCACTTTTTGAAGATCTATAGAAAAGCACTAACAGAATACTACAAAGTGATTAGGAAGGAGAGAGCAACAAGTAGCAAGATTCCACAAACTGCTCTCCAAAAACAAAATTAATGAGATTGGACTCCTCAAAAAGAATAATGGCTTCTTTACTTACTAGTGGGAAGGGGACCTTAGAGTGGCTGACCACGGCTTACTTTTCTGGATCTATACGGAAGAACCCACCTGTTCAGTAGCGAGCTTATCACAGACCACGTAGTGAGGCCTGGTGCAGAGTTGCTAAGATTATAAGACCAACCACTTTTAGAGCCGTTGACTCCTTTAAACATTATAAAGTATGCGTGGATGATGGGATACTACCAATCTTATTACAACAAGAGGTCCTCATTCTTTATCTGGTCAAAATCTTCAGAGCGTGTTTCACCTGGGAATACGGTCAAGATATTTTTTATACCTAAAGCTGGTAAAAAAGGTTATAACTAGTCAAAGTCTTTCAGACCAATAATCTTTTTTTATTCTCTCTCGATGTAATAGCACTTCCTTGATATTGAAGGTGCTTACAATAACTCATTACTTTTCTGTGTGTAAATAGGCTGTGAATATGTGACCCAACAGCGGTTTAAGATGGATAAAATCTATGCTTACCAACAGAGGAGCAATACTAGCTCTTCACGACACAACGTAACAACACACAAGCGACCGCTGGATAAGCTGCTTGATAAGAGGTTAAAGCTGAATGCTATCACGTGCTGCATTGAAAAAAAATATGCAAAAAATATAAAATGATGAAAATAGTTAATCAAACAAGAAATAAGCACTTTGACGATAGAGCAAATGTATTTTATAAGCGAACAAACATTAACGATTATTTAAAGACTACTAATAACAAAAAAAAATTAAATTTCGATTTAGAGGGCTATTTTGAGGGTATATTTTGGTTTAATTATTTATAAATAAACAATTAACGAACAAACAATTATTTATGGCGAACAATGAAGGAGAAACGATGAACAAACGGTATGTGACAATGAACCAAAGAGTATATTTATATACAATGAACCTTTAAATCAGAAAAAAATCTTGTGCCAGGTTTGATGAGCTCCAAAATGGTGGCAGACTATTTGGATGCTTATACAATACACTAATTAAAACTTTGAAGAATAATTTAGAATTGTATTATTTATTTTTTGGTTCTACATTTATTTTTATTGAAAATAATTGAAAGTTAAACACAACACCATCTGTATCTGCTAAAGGTAGTATTGTGGTGTATACAAAAACTATTTTAATTTACTATAAGCAAAAATTATTTTAACAAATACGAGTTTTAGAAATTTCGCAGATCTGTGCTACCAGTTCAGGTAAACTACAAAAAATTGAAGTGCAGTTATTCCTATTTACAAAAATAAAAGAATGTTTAATATCAAGTAAAAGTCATATCACAAACCATAAAAAGATGCTATCTACGCATGTTGATATCTTCAATATTTTAGGTACTTTTGTTCATGTCCCATTAATTTTTTATACAAATAAATTTAGGTATTTTTATAATTCATCTATGGTAGGTAATAGGTATGTCAAATGTCAAGCTTTAAAGTCATTTTTATTTGACATATGCTTGGCCAAAGCCTCCCCAAATCTTTGGACCAAATTGACTAAGCACTTGGTATTCAATATTTACGCATAATTATTTATTCATTTTTCTAAAATTGCGAACTCTCATACATTATAGTCGGAGAATGTGATTATATCTATTTAATACAGCGATATGGATGACACAGAAAGTACAACAACATCTGCAGATGAAAATACTGGTAATTTGTGCGACAATCCAACAAGGGATACCCTAGCTGAGGGTCTTTTAGGTCTTCTAAAGCCTACAGTTGATCAACTTGACGATCGAGTTAGGGCTACTAGGTAATCTTTTTAAAAGAACAAGAAAAACGTGTTTATGCAGCTTCTTCCTCTGTAAAATTATCTTGCAAAAAAATAATTGTATTTTTTTTAAAATAAATCACTATATTTTATATAATTTCCTTATTTGTCAGAATTTCACAATTGGAGTTAAAGCAGCAGATTGAGTCATTAAATGAAGAATTGCTGAAAGTGAGAGAAGCTCTCAATAACCATCCTGAGTTGGACCCATATGTTAAAAAACTAATAGCTTGTAAACATAAAGTTACAGTAGTACTTAATGTATTACAAGCATCTCAAGTATGTTTTGATTATTATTTACTTTAACAATATATTATTTAAGTTCAATAATTTTTCAATAAATAATATGTTTTTAAATTTTAGGATAGACTTAATGAAATAAGGCGAATGATTAATAAAGAGAAAAGTGTTCGACCTGCAGTTGCAGAAATACCTCAAGAACCAGAACAAAGTACTAGTAGTGCTGTATTATCTGATCATGGCAGTATCAACTAAAATAGAAACACCATATCAAAGTCACATTGATAAAGCAGATTTTGACTATGTCTATGAACCAGCTGAAGACAGCTTTCTACTCCTTGATGCCTTAGAAAAAGATCTACAGTATATAAAATCTAAAAACCCCACTTTTTGTTTGGAAGTTGGCTCAGGAAGTGGCATTGTTATTACAGCGTTTGGTACGGCATTTCCACAAACTGTTTGTTTCAGTACAGACATAAATTTTAAAGCCTGCATAATGTCAAAAAGTACAGCTATCCAAAATAAAGTACCTTTGAATGTAATTAATATGGATTTGGGGTCTTGTTTTATTAATAATAAATTTGATGTTATAATTTTTAATCCTCCATATGTTGTGACAGATTCATATGAATGTGGAAGTTGTGGTATTGAAGCGAGTTGGGCTGGTGGTGTCAAAGGTAGAGAAATCACAGACAGACTTCTGGATATGATACCAAAGATATTATCTAACAATGGTACCTTTTATCTCCTACTTATTAAAGAAAACATTCCACTTGAAGTCATTCAAATCATGACTGAACATGGTTATAAATCAGAGACTGTTATACAGAGACAAGTTAAAAATGAGCAACAATTAGTATTAAAGTTTTATAGATAGAAAAATACTTTATTGTTTATAAAAATAAGTACATTATATATATAATTTGTGATAATGTTAATAAATTTCTGTTCAACTTGATTTTAGATTTTTCTTGACAAGTTCACTAAAAGCTTTTGCACCCTGTATGTTTTCTTCATAACCAGGTATTATGGAACAATCCTGGAACCACCTCTGTATGTTGGGGAATTGAGACATGTCCCAACCAACTTGCTGTAAAGTGATAAACATTAATATTACAAGATAGAGATATATGTAAAACAAAATAATAAGTGAAAAGAATACAAATGATTAATTTAAACAAGTACAATTAAAAAAAACAGTTATTCTATAAATGAAGCTTACAATAATTGAAGACATTGATGCAAGAATAGCAGTATCAGCAATAGTCATGTCATTGCCAGCAACCCATTTGTTACCATTCAGGAATTGATTGAGGAATCCAAGTGTGGTATTTAGATCATCTTTTAACTTCTCCTTTATTTCTGTCACTCCTTCATATATAATTGGATACTAAATAAAAAATGTTAAGTTATAAAAATTGTTGTATCTTTTCTTTTGCAAGAAAAAAAAATGCATCTTACTGTCCACAGACCACTTATACTATAAGGTATGCATAAAGAGAATGTCTAGGTTTTGCTTCTGTGTTGGAGCAAGATTCATGCACAAATGGGTATTATGTATTAAAACTTAAATGTATTAGTGCCAGTTTGGTGGAAACCTGGCTACTACCACCTCACATACATACTTTTGTCCTTTGATAACTTTTACATAAGGTTTTATATGGCATGTGGTACAGTCATTTACCAAGTAAATAATAATAGTAACTTGTTACTTCTAACTAAATAAGTAAAATACACATACACAAATAGCTCTTATCTTAGGATACAAAAATGAGCTGTCAAAGTATAATCTTGAATTGACGACCGCACGCTGCTGAAGATCTTTTGGATAGATGTCGTCATTTTTGCCATATTTATCAGCTAAATAACAAGCAATTGCACGACTTTCCCATAAGACGAAGCCATTATCATCAAGTGTTGGGACACAATGCTGTGGATTTATTTTTATAAAACTTTCACTTAGTTGCTCCTTTTTAATCAAATTTATGATTACAATTTCTGCCGGTACTCCTATTAATTTTGTCGCCATATACGCACCCCTGGACGGTGCGCTAACATTAAAATGATACAACTTTATACCAGACATATTTGTCACTGTTTTATAATAGTAATATTTTTCTAGAATCTAGACTATCAAAGTTATACTTGGGTTATTGACCTCGGAAGACATAATCAGCTGACGCTGACCCAGATGGGGGACACTCAAGTCATTGCTAATTTTTCTAAAGAAAGTTGCGCCATCTACTTTTCCTAACTGGTAAAAATGCTCAGTGTCTTATTTACTTGCCGATAGATGTCGCTTAAATAATATTCGATCCTGTACTAATTGTAATTAATACCAAATTAATTAAATAGATAATTAAAGACTTAAGATTATTATTTTATATACAAAAATGTTTTATAAAATAAAAAAAAAACTATCAATACTTGTTCCAAGTGGCAATTTTAATATTTTTACAAGCAATTCCTAATATTCCTATTATGGCAATACTGGTAAGTGGTAACGACAAAATTCAAATTTCCAATTACATTTTTTGGCCATTTTTTGTGTATTTTTCGTTTTTGTAGCATTTCAGATTTCTTAATTTCTTATTCATCAGACCTTGAGTCGAGATTACTCCTCCGTCCTGATACCAAGATTACTACCAAAACACACAATTTTATTATGTCTGCTACAGTGACGAATTATCGTACATACTTTGTACTTAGTTTAGTGATATTTCGCGTAAGGACGCTTTTCTGTGGTGTGTGAGTTATAAAAAGCAACATAAAGTAAAAACACCAACAGTGGTAAGTATATACTCATTTCATAACGAATTCATGCCTGCGGTACTCAAAAGGTGTTTGCTTGCCGGCACTTTTAATCATAAAAAGTAAAGACAAAAATATAAAATAAATATAAAAATACAAAATCACCAAAGTAGCTAATAGTGGTATTAGTGGTTCTGAACCTGCCATTCCAGCTGTGATACCTCCACTTCATGATACAAATACAGGAATTTTAAAAGTAACTTTTATGCTAAATATCAAATATACACTAACATGAGTAACAACAGATGGCAGACAGCAGAGGATGAAGAGAATGCAGGGGGGGGGTCTCACTTCACAAGGCATTGCTACCTCAAGGCAGGCTACCTCAGTACATTTTTTTTTACCCGGCTATGTATTTCATTATTATATATCACAAGAGTGGCATACTGTGCCACAACTGCTTACCCACTAGTGGACAACTTAGTAGTATCATAGTTAAAAATTTATGTAGTTGTTCATCTCTCTCTGCATCGTGGGGTCGAACCCGAGCAATTACTTCCCAAAGATTGACAAGTCTTCAAAATAAGAAAACAATATTTATTATTTCAGGTGAACCAAACCACATACCATCGACAGCAGCTGTATTATCAGAACACAGTGCTATAAGCAGAACCAGTAGGAATATGTAGTCTAAAGGTTGGTATTTGTTTACTAAAAGAAATCTAATATTATAAATTTATAAAGAAGTAAAGTTTTTAAGCTTGGTTGCAGCTACCTGCTACATCTAAATGTACAATTTTACAAACTTAAATAAAATATTCTATTTTTTATATCAAAAAATTTGTTGATTTGTTTGTTTGTTTTTCTTTGTCCTGCTTTCATGCAGCCTGGGATAGACTTGATTATTCTTATCTGTAGTTAAAACCAGAAGTTACCAGAGAGCTTTTACTCCCATGAGAACATTTTCTTGTGGCTGGCTGGCACTGGCACTGGCAATAACTAGTAAAACAAAAGTTTTGTTACTACCTATTTATTGACTTAACAATTTTATACTTTTCAGCTGTGCCGCTTAACTATCAATGCATGCAGATGAAACCACTTCATTACGAGATGAAAATCATGCGTAATAAGATATGTTGTTTGTGACTAAAACGTACAATGTTTTAAGGAAAGACTTGTTTGCGAAAAAAAGTACAATGTTTTAAGGAAAGGCTCTAGAAAATATGGCATTGATGCAATGTTGACAAGATATTTCAACCAAGACCCTATAGAAAACTTTTTCGGGAATATCAGGAGTTATGGTGTTAGAAACATTGCTCCAAATACTGTCTCATTTGAGGGGACCTTCAAGGCTTTGATAATAAATAATTATAGTGAGCCACATTCAAGTAGAGCAAATTGTGAAGAAGATCACAATGAGTGTCTTCAAAGTTTGGACTCCTTCCTTAAAGATAAGAACATAATAACTCCTGATATCCCTGATACTAATGATACTATTCATTTTAACAGTGAAATTTGCTTTGACCAATCCATTGAAATTGATGCTGGTCAAAGCAATTATGTCTGCGGATGGGTTTTAAAGAGATTCCTTAAATTTATAATAAAAAGGTTGTTATCATTGCAAACAAACATTGTTTGAAAATGATATATCAAATGACAATAATTCATATATCTATGCAAAAGAGTACATGAATAAAAAATGGCTGTGCTATCCTAATAAAGAAGTGGAATCGTATTTCAAAGAAATCCAGAATATGACCACTACTTTTTAAAAAAAAATGTACCCAAAACAGGTTTGAAGAAAAATATTGTTTTGTTTCTGGACATGCTATCTGATTGTCCTTTTAAGTGTGTTGAACATAAAAATAAATTAAAAACATATTTTATAAATATGACAATCAATGTTTTGGTTTATAGTTGGTGCAGAAGTGTCAATCGTATTTTGAGCGGCAAATTAACTGTTAAAGATGAAGATGATGAGGTCAAAATTGCAACCCAAAATTATTTTAATAAGCTCAAGAATTATAAAAATAGAAAATGACCCTTTAAATAAAATTCTCTTTTCGAAAACGTAAAATAAATTCAACAAATATTGTAAGGTACTTTGGTGCCATTTTTATATTTTTGAATTCAGTAATTTTGTGGATAGGCACTGTCTGTAACAAGTATATCTTTGAGACGTCTAAAATCTTAGAGTAAAGCATTCAAAAAGGCGGGAACCAAAAATCAAAATAAATCCGCGAAAAATCCGAAAAGATAGTCTTATTTAAAATGTCAAATATTCGCGTAAATCTATGAAAGTATAAAAAATGAGATGAAATTATTACATATAAGAATTATTGTTCAATAGAAATTATTCTGTAATAAATAAAATAATGATATGATTACTCAATAAATGATTACTCTTGCAGTTATTGTTGTTTTATTTCTTTCTTTGCTTTTTTACTAATATCGTGTTCCAACAAAGGACTAAGCCGAGAGGTTTTTTCTTTGTTGGAACACTAATAGAGCACTTAATAAATCAATGGTAAAATAAATAGATATAGGTAGCTATATAGCTACCTATATATAGCATTAGTTTTGGTTAGGAAACGCAGATGGCGTTTCAAATTGATTTGCATAAAAAATCCTCAAGAGGGCACTCTTTTCCCAGTATATTACTATACTCTTGTATATTACTATACTCTTTGCGCTGACCCACTTCAAGTGATTAGTGATGGCCCCTACAGGCTGTATCGACTATCGCGCTACATTGGTTAAATAAAAATAAATACGTAAAATCTTCTTTGAAAAACATTTTATTTTTTTATGAAATGAATTTTCCTACTACAATTAGAAAGAGAACAAAAAAGTGTTTAATTAATTTTGTTTAATTTAAAAAATTAAGTATATTTCAAACCAAGAACATAATGAGATTGAATGTACCAATTACCATAATTCGTTGGCTCACTATTACAAGATTCTATGTTACAATTTTAGTACTTATTTAGTTATTAATGCTACAAGGTCCTATGTGTCATTAGCTACAGTTTTGCAAAAACAAACCACTAGATAGCGGCACTATAACTACAAAATATTCAATTTTACATAGTTCTATGTTTTTTTTTACGATAACAAAATAACGAAGTTCTATGTAAAAATTACTAAACTTCATTAAAATTAACATAGAACCTTGTAATAGTGAGCCAACGAATTATGTCTGAGAATTGAAACATGACATTGACATGTTATTGTTTTTATTAGCACTTTCAAGTTTCAACTTTGTTTATATTATATTAGACTATAAACTTATTGGTTACATTCTCTTTGATATCTATTAATTGCTTAATGATTTATATTTCTTATGACTTTTTAAATAATTATGGATACCAATAAATGTAGGATATGTTTAACAAGTATAAATTTAACACAGGACATATTTAAAACTACCAGCTCAGGTCAGATATATACTAAAATAATATCTTTAGCTAAAGTTCAAGTAAGTATTGTGGAAAAAGTATCAAGTGTAAAATTATTTTCAATATGTATTAATGATTTTTCTTTTAATAGATACAACCAAATGATGGTCTGCCTACGTTTATATGCATGAATTGTAATAAAACGTTAGAAATATGCTTAGAATTTGTCAAACTTTGTGAAAAATCCGATGAAGTATTAAGAAATGCTTTATTAACAATAATAAAAGATGAAAATCTTGTGACTGATGTAAAAAAAAAGAATTTACATGTGTGTCAGGACAGTACAAATTTATCTTGTTTAATTGAAGACAAGAATAAAACAGAACTGAAAAACGAAACAAATAACATTATGAAACCTAATAATTGTAATGATAATATTTCAAATAATTTTAGTAATTTAAATTTACTTGAAAAGGTATCTCAAAAACAACAATGCTTTACTTGTGGAAAAATTATGTCTTCCAGGTATTAGTGGACTATATTCAAATTTATTTATACTTATTAATTTTTTTTTATTTAAAGTAAAAATATGAACATTTTATATAAAAAGTTATAATTGGTCCACTTCCTTATTGATTCTTTTCAGATTTCGTCTCAAAACGCATCTAGCAACCCATTCTGGGGAGAAACCCTATGAATGTCCACATTGCAACAAGAAATTTACTATAGCACAGAACCTTAATGTTCATATGAGAATACATACGGTAATATTAAAAAAATATTATTGAATTAATTCTTATCAAGAACCCAAATCAACATTAATGCTCATTTTATAAATAAATGTAAACCATCACATTAAAAACTAAATGGCTTCTGTGTGACAATTACAGTTTTTAATGTTAACTAGTACAAAGATTGATTTAAAAATATTGCTTCTCAGGGTGAAAAACCATTTAACTGCACTATATGTGGAGAAACATTTGCACAATCCTCAGGATTAACAGCGCACAAAAGAAAACACACAGGTCAAACACCATATCAATGTGTATTATGTCCAAGAAGTTTCCGGACTATAGGGCATTTACAATATCATATCAGGTTAGGTAATTCTTATTAATAGTAAGTACATAATGTGTTAAATTTTTGCTTGAAATAATATTTGCATTTAATTATTATTTCACTTTTTAGATGTCACACTGGTGAAAAAAATTATGAATGTGATACATGTAGTCATGCCTTTATTACACGAAGTGACCTAAAACAGCATCTCTTGACACATATTGGAGACAAACCACATGTATGTTGCATTTGTGGTATGAGATTATCTCGTGCATCAAATTTAAAACGCCATATGAAATATTCTCATAATGAAGGAAAGACCTTTACATGCTCAGAGTGCCCACTAAAATTTGTACGCAAGGGTGAACTTTTAAAACATGAAAAAATACATAAATATGTTGAAAATAAATAAACAATATTTTTATAATGAATCCCAATTTTTATTTATTTTATATTTGAATTTTTATTTTATATTTGATATAATTATTGTAGTAATTAGTGATAGCACAGAACAACTTGTGGTGATTTATAGTTTATACTGCAATATTTAAGTACATATCTATAGTGTACTGCCCAATATATTATTTTCCTCTTTGGTATACTGTTATTGTCTCCTGAGAGTATTATAACCCATACAAAGAAATCGGACAGTGATAATTCGGGCTATTTTTGTTTGCTTGAATAGATAATAGATAAACTGTTTTATTTTATAAATATGTGCAAACTAATGAATGGTAAATATTATGAAATTCATCCTGCATTAGAATAAAAAAAATGTAATTTTAACAATTTTTAACTGTGATAAACAATTCATAAAAAGTAAAAGCGCCATCTGTGAACACACACTACAAACTCATCATCTGATTGCTGATATTTCAATAATCAGTAAAATGACCAATTTGGTTTACGGGTGTATTATTTCTCTTCCCTTCACATAGAATATTTTTAAAAACAATAATATACCTTTTTCGGATAATTTTTTATGATTTGCTTAACACAACTTTTATAACAAATCGATTTATTTAACGTCATCTATTAAAAACATTTTGAACTAATTTTTCTTTGTTCGTGATGAGACCCTATGGTATTATATTCCTTGGTTAATGTCTATTGTCTTCTTATGGTCTCATTAAGAATAAAGAAAAATTAGTTAAAATAATTCTCAACAGATGGCATATCGGTTTGTTTTTGATTGAATTAAAAGTTAACTCAAAAAAGTAGATCTAAAAAAAGATATCTTAACGGATTGTGAACTAATTTTATTATTCTGTATGACTATATTATTTTCAATTTTTTTCTGATATTAATAATCATTGATTGTATATTGTTTTTTAATTAATTCTTGATATTTACTCAGCTAGCATAATATATATTTATATTAGATTATGATGCAATTTAAAAAAAAAATTGTATTTAATGAAAACTTTATAATTTAAATGTAAACTTTTAATTTTTTTATATTTAAATGTAAACTTTGTAATTTAAATGTATTATTAATTATACGTTCGATCTCACGGTTAGAGTCGTAGATAAATAAATAAAATGTAGAGCAGTATAATGTATCTAATTCTGGCAACATTAAGGTAATATTCGAATTTTCAAATACGTTAAACGAATACATTTGTGATTTGTCGAGTCGCTTGAAAGTTTAAACTTCTTTGTGGCGTTTTGAAAAAATTCTAAACAATATATTGTTAAAAGTATTATAATTTTAAGGACTAGTCAGGTTTGTGAATTGTTGAAAAAGTTAGAATATTCAACCAAAAATATGTCGAGAGATATCTATTACTCGGAAAAATATTATGATGAGGAACATGAATACAGGTGAGTTTGTTCAGTATTCCAATTACATTTTTACCTACAATGTTACATTATTTTTTTTGTCAAACATATTATTTATTGGACCATAATAGAAAAATATTGAACGCTTGATTTTATGGGATTCACAAACTCGTTAAATAGGTAATGTCTTCCTTTAAATTTCTTAATGGCGTAATTTGTAGCTAATGTTTATATATATTTAAATTTTCATCACATATATGCATAATATGACCAATTTCCTTTTGTTAATAATACTTATTGACCATGAACTTGAACATAGGGTTGCGAAATGAACATAAAGAAAAATATTTATTTCAGGCATGTGGTCCTGCCAAAAGAGATGGTGAAATTAGTTCCAAAGAATCATCTTATGTCTGAACAAGAATGGCGATCTATTGGAGTCCAGCAAAGCCAGGGTTGGGTGCATTACATGACACACCAACCAGGTATTGTGCTATTTACCAAGAATGTTCTTAATTATCTTTATAAAATTCGGCTTGGATTGTATTTTTTATTATTACAATGATAAATAATATTTTAAACTAATATGGATAAACTATTTGTCTCTAAATAGGTACTGTTGTGTCAGAAAACAACGGCAAGTACTTATAATGAACGTTTTATTATGCCATATCATTTAACCTCCGTCCTCCAGACTATTTGTTTATTTAGTCTTTTAAGTTTGAAAACAAACTTTTTTGCAATGTTGTTGTCAATTATTCAGAAGATTTTCTAACTTATTTATGAAAGTCAGTCAAGTTTCAATATATATTTTAGAAATACCATCTTAAGTACTTCTAGGAGCCATTGAACAAAGAATTGAATAGAAAATCATATTACAGTAATAATATCACATTATTTATATCAAATAATTTTATTTTGCATATTTTTAATAAGTTAATTAACAATCTACTATATTGTTGTTTATTTCTTTACCATTTACTTCTTACAGAACCACACATTTTGCTGTTCCGACGAAAGAAGACCACTACACAAAGTAAGTGACAAATAATAAGATATAGAGAAGTGAAAGATGTGATGTCGGTGTATTGTACAGCTGTCATGATGATGAGATTAGATTTAATTAGTTTAGTTTGCCTCGTAATAAGCCTTTGACAATTTTCATTTGATATGAAAATTACTTGAAACATAAAGTAAATGTTTCTTTCATATTATATTTCTACTTATTCCATTTATCCATTGTACTTGTTCAGGAAATATGTTAATGATAATTTTATTTTTGGATATATTCCATAAGTAATTATGTTTTAAAATTTGATTTTCGTTTTGACATGTATTCTTTAAAGGGACTGGTTCCAAGTCTGGACTACAAATGCTTAAATACTTGATTATAATTATTGTCATCATTTATTATTTTACATTAGAAATTTTATAATGAAAAGTTCATTAAATATTTGAAGTATATGTCTTTTCAAACTTAGTAATTGATATTTGTATATTTTTCTAATATGTGACAGTAATTCTTGATGTTTTTTTGTTATTGACTCCACCGTAAGTGCTGTGACGATAACCATGTTTGAAGGTTCCTATTTTATGTATATCACAGTTAATTGCCATAAATCAATATATATTTGTTTGTTATGTGTGTAATTATTATCTTCATTACTATTAACACTTAATTCAACCTTATTGAGTCACTATTTTGTAAGTTTCATTCTAAGAATCATTTTAATGTGTAAAAAAAAAAAATCTTGTCCCAAATTAGCTATGTAAGATAATAAAGGCCAAAATATTACATTAATTTGTAGATTTTTTGAATATCTGACCAATCGGTAAAATCAATGCTATAATATTTGGTTGTAATTGTAAATAATGAAACTTTCTGTAATGAGCACTTTATTCATATCTGATGTTTGTAAATTTAATGAAATTGGGTACAAATAAATTATTTGGTGCTATGTTATTATGTGTTTTTTTTAAAATCCTTTTATAGGTCATAGGCATTGGTAGCCCAGTGGTAATGCACTCGTTTAAGAAACCGAGTGAAGGGTTCAAATCCCGGGTCTCTCGCACCTTTGATATTTTCATGTGTGAATCATTTTCCAATACGATTACTACTTGTTTTATGGTGAAGGAAACATCGTGAGGAAACCTGCAAGTCTGATAGAATCTAGCAAGTTTTCGAACAATATGTGTGGTCCGCCAACCCACACTTGGCTGTAGCGTGGTTGATGGACTATGACCTAATCCCCCTAGTATTAAAAGGAGGCCCTTGCCCAGCTGTGCGACGTTAAATATTGCTGAATAGAATACAAGGAGCCACTGAACAAATAAGAATATTATCCCGACTGATTCTGGTTACTGCGGCCTTCATTTATCCAAGGCACAGGAATGGAGCATCAAATTCCCAATTCGGATACTGAGAATTTCTCAACAGAATAACTCTTTACTATATTAATAAAGCTATTTGAGCTGAACTGGGAACCTATTAGGCCCAACTGCGGCGAAGCCCAAAGGAGGGTTATGTGTTTGAGCTGTATGTATGTCCAATCCTATGTTCCCTCGTGATTACTAAACAGCTCAACCGATTTTGATGATTTATATATTCGATGATTGGCCTTGACGAGTGTCATGGCCTATATAAATATAATTGAAAATCCAAATGGAGGATACTAGGCGCCAATTTGTGTCTTTCAAAATAAATTTTATTTTCGTCCAAATCAATCGAGCGAGGGGTATCAAAACACAGGTTTTTGAGACTGATAAGTTTTAAAGTGATTTGGGATAAGAAATTGTTCAATAAGATTTCAAATGTCTAACTGGCTAAAACGAAATATTATACCTTTAAGTATACCTTTTTAAGTATACCTTTAAAAAGTAAAAGTATACCTTTTTCGGAAAGCTGTGAATAAAAAAAATATTTATTAAAAAAGCCAACTGCATATAAAGCAAACTAAAGAGATGAGAACAAGTGTAAAGTGTCTAAATATATACAAATTTAGATAGGTTTAGTATTTTATTCTATGAAGACTCTCTAAATGTGTTTATTTTAAACTATGGGCTTGAGAGACATTAAAGCCCCTTTGTAATAGATCAGTCTTTGTTGTGAACTTGGATTCATGACAAAATATTCTACAGTAATTCATGGCCCATTAAGTTATTCACTGTGCTATAATTAGATAGGAACATTGAAACATTAATAATAATGTTACATAGTTTTATTTTCTTTTTTTCTTAGCAGTAGGGGATAGCGTAGGTAACTTAGTTGTTTCTGATTGTGAGAATTCCATGGACTCTACTTTTATATCATCTGGGACAGCATCCAGTAGTTCTAGGCCTTGAAGCTGTTCTTGTTCCAAGCTGTGTAGCATTTGAAAACCAGGCTCCAGAGATGGTGTAAAGGCACCATCTAGTGCAGCAGGAAAATGTAATTCTGGTACTTCTTCAAGCTTTAGTTGTGGAGCAATTTCACCAATTGTTAAAGCTTCACAGTGATTTCTTTGTTCTTCACATTTACTCTTTATCTTTTCATGGTATTTGATGACACGATTCTCATAAAAATCGTGTAAGTTACCAACATTTAGTTCCGTGAAAACCTTAGAAATAACATCCGGGAAACCTGAATTGAGTCCACTAGCTTCTCTATCCACTACAGTTCTCATTAGTTTACACATATTTGACAAATAAATATCTAAATAATCTGCTACAGCAGTCAAGGCAGTATTTGTAGATGCTGCAAAACCAACATGGCCTATGGCTATAGCTGCACACTGTCGCAAAGCTCGTTTATGACTTTCTGGAGTAAAAGGTAAAATCACAGGCCCCTTTCCTAAGGAGAAGTCACAATATTCTTTGGGAAGAAAGTTTATAGGAGGTACTGCTACATGTTCTATTTTTAAAATTGGTTCTGGTGGTGGATTCGGTAAGCTCAAAGTGTCTATTCTCGCGCCTTCGTATATAGCCGCTTCAGTCCTATCAATAATAGCAGACAATTGTCTCGAATAAGCATGTAGTTGTATAGTATGCGTGATTAAATTTGCTTTAGGTAATTCGATTGGTGAAGATTTCACTGTAATTGGTATTTCGGGAATATTCTGCATACCCAGCTCAATAATTGGATTAAAGTTAACAGTTTGAAGTACTGTCTCATCATTATCGTCGTCTTCAAATTCACCCCAAAGTTGCCTATTTGCCATAGCGGTTTATACAACTCTTGAGATTTTTCTAAATATATGGATAATCTCACTGTGCAGACAGGGAATCCACTGATATTTAGAATATTTTTTTTATATTAGATTTATCTCTATCTGAAAAATTGAAAACAAAAACGCTGAATGAGAATGAGAAATATTGACATTTGACATTCAGTTTTGGCATCTGACAGCTGACACAATAGAGACAACGTTTTCCGGCCAATAAGTTTATAAATGGAAATACTATCCATTAGAATATGTATAAAAGTACACTTTATACTTATAAATAAAAAATAAATGCACAATTCTATCCTTTTACAATATTTTTAAATATGTGTTCACAGTGAGCAAATTCTCTAACAGTCATAGGTCGCAGTTTCACACAACAACATCTATCTACTCACTATTAATTTTGTGAGTGATTTTATTTGTTTAAAAAAATATAGATCAAGTCATATCCACAGACAATAAAGTTATTAGGCTGCTAAGAACTTAGTATTTGACTTGGTTTGATTGCCTGTTTTCCAATCACAGAGCATAATGCCGCACTTTTACGCACAAGCACGAACAACGCGAAAAAATACTTCTTATAATTTCTGCTACTGAGTTGGTATCCGTTGCGCACATCACGCCAAAGCAGTACTTTTCAAAGTGCTCGATTGTGCGGAGCGTTGCTGTAGTTGAAAAATTCGAAGTTGAGCATTATGCCGCATAATGCGCTTCAGTATTGTAATTGGAAAACTGCCAATACTGATTCCTGCCCAGCACAAATCAGTCCGCGCATCTGTCGAATTTCGTCAGCTTTGTGTGTACGCTACATAAATGACAAATCTTATCCCGATTAAAATCTCATCGTCTATTTGCACCTTTTCTGTTAAGTAAGTAGCTAGTATCACAGTGTATTAATCCATACATGACCGTTTAACGAAGACGTCTAGACAGGTCAATCATGTCACATGTGGGATATGCGAGATGAGACCCCGGTGAGGCGCTCCTGGCTGTCATATGTACTAAAATACATGACAGTCAAGAGATAGGCCTAAAGCTCAGAAAGTATAATAGTAGGGGAGCCTAAGAGGGGATTTTCTGTAGTTACTCGAGCGCGGCAGATTAACATAAAAGAGGTTACCTTGCACTCTATTGAGTACTTTCACCATAATATAAGTCTTCTATATAAAGGGGCGCGTCTAGGGAAGTCGATTAAAATATTTAAAAAATGTTTTGATAAGGTAGAAATACTTGAAACCGTCAGATTAAGGTGTGGTAGGCTAGTCACATCCTGAAAAGTGTCCAATTCAATAATCTGCCGATTTGCACAAGCCGAAGAGGCAAAAATCGACTATAAAGTTTATGATGATATACGGCACTATAAATTTAAAAATTCAAAAACATGAAAATTTTGTGGGATTTTGGGTTCAAAAGCGGACAGTACCTACTGTATGAATTATATATTTATACTTTTTTAGTGCAGTAAACTGCTCAAGTCATGTGCGAGGTAGGTTTTAAATAGATAAAAATAGTTATTCTGAATGTACCTTAGTAAACACAAACATTATCACGGACTTTCTGTAGATCTACAATTTTCTTGTAAATTGTATTCATGTTCATATGTAATCCCTAAGATTTAGCCAGCGTTAGCCAGGTAAGTAGGTGCCTACCTATATAAAAAACATTTTTTATTGACAATGCTCTTTCAAATAAATTTGCCTGTACGACATATGTGGCACCTACTCTAAGATAGTTCTACTATACATAGGTATATATTAGGGTTATAGAACCGTAGCGAAAGTGCAAGCAATAAGTTGATTAAGTTTCATCGTAATCGGATGAGCGGTACGGTAGTGCATGAAGTACGAATGAACAAGCAAATAATATTTGATGTACGGCAACTTAATTAACTTACCTTACATCAAATACGAAAACGAAATATATAAAAAAAAAAAAAAAAAAAAAAAAAAAAAAAAAAAAAAAAAAAAAAAAAAACCCTAACTCCTGAACTAGAAAACTGTGTTTCAGGAGCTACAATTATATATTTCGTTGAAAATCTTATAAAGTACTCTAAAGTTACAGGAATTTGCAAAGATTTAATTGTTATGAAAAAGTGATTAAGTTCCTTACCAAGTGTGCGCCACACACAATGTGCACTTTCTATTTCTGTCACTTTCAAACTCCGGTGGGACTACATCGATAAGAGATCAGGCGCAGCATCGACGGCTTTACGTGCTCTCCGAGGCACGGGAAGACATATCGCCAACTTCCTACCTCCGGAGTCCGGATTGCTTTTAAAAATTTCTTAACAGAAAAACTTAATAACTGAACTTGGCCCGACCCGGTACTCAAACCCAGGATCTCCGGATATGCAGCTGTACCTGCTAGCCATTAGACTACTGAGGTAGTTAAACTTTAATAAAGTTAAAGAATTGTAGAGTTTCACGGCGACTATATTAGAAAGTAATGTATTTAAATAAAATGAAATTAAAATAATTAAATTATATATAATTAATAGTTTCGATTATATTTAGATTTTTGTTTTTTGTCAGGGGAGGAACTCACAGAATGTTCCTAATAGTTAACCTATACGTAAGGTTGTAACTTGTAAGTTCGATTCAACGTATTGTAAACATGGGTAACAAAACAAAATAATCAAAGTTTCTATTTTACTAAATGCAGCATCATGTGAATTTTAATTGTATGTATGTTATTGTTAATAGTTGCCTCTTGACTGAATACTCCCTGCCCATTTCCCAATCACTTGAGGTCGGCGCAGTACATCTTCTGTACTGCTGATAGGATTTGGCAAAAGTTTTACGACCGGCCGCCTGCCTGACGTCAACCCTCCTTGACTGAAAACTAAATTTAATAATTAAAATGCGAAAGTTTGTGAGGATGTGTACGTAAAAACTACGGAATGGATTTTAATGAAACTTTACAATAATATAGCTATAGCATCAGAATAACTCATAACATATTTTTTATCCCGGAAATGTGTATATGTAGATATGCAGGGAATGAAGCAAGTAGTATATATTTAATTTGCTTATTATTCTTGAAAGAAACGTGTGTGCAGATAAAAAAATTCATTCGTGTATTTTTTTGTATTATTATTTTTGATATATTTTTTTGCTTTTTAACATAAAATATTATAAATATTTAAACTTTATATTTGCTTGAAAATGATAAAACAAAGAATTGAATATTTTTTAGACGATAAAGAAATAGAGTATTTGTAGTTTTATTTAATTTTAATTTCGTTTCTTGAACTTATTTATATTACTAAAAAGATTCAAGTTATTTAATACGCAATTCGTGAATGATTAGAATATCTTATTTATTTTGAATTTGCCGTACCTATGTATTTAAAATTTTTATTACACATATTTGTGTTCCAAAAAAATTCACATTTGAGATAACCAAACGAGAGTTTACATACAGTTTTATTATTTAAATTAGATCCGACAATTTAATATATGGCGTCGGATGTCGCAATTATTAAAGGTCGCAGTCATTATGTGTTAATTATTTTGATGTATGGGCTCAGCAAGTTTGTTATGGATATTTGGTACGAGGCTATTATATAACTAACTTATATAACTCAGGCTTTTTTAATGCTGGGAAATGTATACCGTACCATAAGTATACATACCACGAAGCGATGACGGCTGCCGGCCGAGGCAGGCCATAACAACCATTAGGTTTCTCTCACGGTCTACTCTGCTATCAATGAAGTATAAGGAGAAACACGCATGGTACACCACTCACTGAAGTGGACCACCTCCCTTGGTGTGTCGCTTGGCTTCACGCCCAACTGGATTGCTGAACGCTAATGACCCCCTCCACCATAACAATACGAACTCACGTCGTGGGGGAACTCAGGCTACCTCAGGTTCGCCAGGCTGCATTAATATGACAACTGAAAAATATTTTTTTTATTTTACCCACTTTCAACTCCTTTTATTTTACCCACTTTCAACCATTTAAGGGTAGGATTAAAAAAAAACGTTTTTTAATATTATTTATCTACGTAATTATAGGAATACAAAGTATAATAATTTCAGCCAGATTAGTTTGGCGGCTTGGTCTTGGCGGAGATCCAGCTGAGACAAAAAACTTTATACCAATTGATAACACAAACAAAACACCTTATCCTATATTGAAAAATTATAATTAATAATTATTATCTATTTTATGATCTCTGAAGCAGTCGGTATAAATAATAAAAGATACTTCTATGAAAAAGATAAAATTGTTCGTTAATAGAAAGATATAAAAATGCTAAAGCATAAGGCTCTACAATGTCTACGACGTAGCTTTGGCGCTTACTTTAAGAAAAGGTGTAACGATGGTAATTGTAGCAGAGCAGGAATGGTAACCGAAGTGTATTGAGACTTACGCATATCTGCATTACGTGTAATAGTTTTTAGTTTTATAATTCATATATATATGTTAGTTTTAAGGTATATATTATGCTATGGGCCTCTGTTTACATACTTAAGATCCTTTTGTAAATATTGCCTGAAATAAATGATTAAATAAAATAAAAAAAATATGTGAGGAGCTATAAAACTGAACCTTACATATTAATTGGAATAAAACTTTCTCACATTAGTAATATATGATAATAAATTATATGAATATTTGAAGAATTTTTGAAACTCACAACAAAATACTCAAATGTAGGGAGTAAAATTGCTAGAGTCGCTACGGTAAAGAAATACGTATGACCCATACCATAAGTAGCGTGGGCGCATGTGAAAATTGTGAATTTTAGTGGCATGTAAAGTCTTCCTTTTTTAATAAAACGAATGACAAAAAAAAAACAAACCAACATGCATCAATCAATCAGCCTATCGCCGTCCACTGCTGAACAAAGGCCTCCCCCAAAGAGCGCCAACCATCCCGGTCTTGGGCAGCCTGCATCCATCCACTGCCAGCCACCTTTCTTAGATCATCTGTCCATCGTGCTGCAGGGCGTCCTACACTACGCTGGCCTAAACGTGGTCTCCACTCTAGCACGCTTCGGCTCCATCGGCCATCCGTACGTCTGGAGACATGACCAGCCCACTTCCACTTCAGCGAGCTTATTCTGTGCGCGATGTCGGTTACTTTAGTTCTCTGGCGAATGACTTCATTTCGAATTCTGTCTGCCAGAGAAACTCCAAGCATCGCGCGTTCCATTGCTCGCTGAGCGACTTTGAATTTGTGGACCAGCCCTGCGGTGAGTGTCCACGTTTCGGCTCCGTATGTCATTACGGGTAGGACGCACTGGTTAAATACCCTGGTCTTAAGGGATTGTGGGATAGATGACTCTAGAATATGACGAAGCTTCCCAAAAGCCGCCCAGCCCAAGCGTATTCTTCTGTTGGCCTCCTTCTCAAAGTTGTGCCGGCCGAGTTGTAAAGTTTGGCCAAGATATATGTATTCCTGCACAACTTCAAGAACAGCGCCATTCACGATCACTGGTCTCGGGGATACATGACAATTCGACATGATCTTGGTCTTGTCGAGATTCATCCCGAGACCCACCCGCCTCGAAGAATCGCCTAGGCTGTTTAGCATTTCTTCCAAATCCTGCAGAGTCTCTGCCATGATGACTATGTCATCGGCGAATCGCAGGTGTGTCATATATTTTCCGTTGATATTTATACCGCATCCGTTCCAATCGAGCGTCTTGAAGACGTCCTCCAATGCACAGGTAAACAGTTTTGGGGATATAACATCCCCCTGTCTTACCCCGCGGTGCAATTGGATTGGCCTTGTGCTCTGACCTTGTACTTGGATGGTCATCGTTGCGGCTTCGTACAAACCTTAGTACTTGGATGTACCGATAGTCAATAAGGCATCTCTGCATGGATTGTAGAACGGCCCAGGTCTCGATGGTGTCGAAGGCTTTCTCGTAGTCCACAAACGCTAGGCATAGAGGCTGATTATATTCCTCGGTCTTTTGAATTATTTGCCTTAGTGTGTGTATGTGGTCTACGGTACTGAAGCCTTTTCGAAACCCGGCCTGCTCGATGGGTTGAAAGTCATCGAATTTTTGGGCGAGACGGTTCGTGATAACCCTTGAAAACAACTTATACACATGGCTCAGGAGTGATATGGGTCGGTAATTCTTCAAAAGAGCTTTGTTGTTTCCTAGTTGTCCAAGAGCTATCCTAATCTCGCCCACGTCGATTTCGGGAAGCTCGTCTGTATGGTGGCGTACCAGTCTGGCACGTGGATCATCCGCGTGGTGGGACTCAGGTGGAAATGTTTGTGAGGAGTAAAGATCCCCATAAAATTTTTCGACTTCGGCAAGAATCTCTGATTTCGAGGTGACGGTTGTACCCTGTGCAGTTCTAAGCTTAGTCAGGTGACAACAGGAGGTGTGGGATTGAGCAAAGACTTTCGAGCCCCTATTGAGTTCCCCTTCCCTCCGGACCTTGAAAGTGGTCGGACGTGTTAAACATCGTTCCACACATATTTTAAAACAGTTTAAAATGCGTTTATTTCTTTTAAATAATAGGAGTGCATAGTAGTTAAGGAGTAGTGTCAACCGTGATTTACAGTGTGTGTATACTCTAAACGTTAGTTACATCGCCGTCTCTTTCGGTATCACAGTACGGACATCAAGTAGTGCAGTGAAGCTATAGTTTACGCGCGTCCGCATTAGAGGGGTCAAGTTACACTAGACGGAAACCAAAGTTGTATGAAATCGCCGCTCCCCACCAGTTTACTTTGACCTGCTATCTATAAAACTTCCTCCTTACGCATAAGCGCCTGGTACTTGAACTATTCAAAAATGCCTATTAACCGCTCCCCACCATCTCAACAACTACAGCTGTTGACGACTCCCAGTTCGATTCCACATTGTACCTCTGAGCCAAACCTGTCTAGCCAGACGGATATTGAGCAGCCAAATGTAACCTTGCGTCAAAAGCGTAAGCGTTTTGAAACCGACAGCGTTACCAATACAATCGTTCAAAATTTTAACCGTAAAAACAAAGTTATTGGAATATTTTTAGATCTAACTAAGGCATTTGACACGGTCTCAATTACCAATCTTTTGACAAAATTAAATGACATTGGTATAAGAGGAGTAGTGAATGATCTATTTAAAAGTTATCTTAGTGATCGATCTCAGTGCGTGGTAATTAATGGTACCGTGAGTGATGAAGTTGGTTTAAGTTTTGGAGTACCACAGGGCAGTGTCCTTGGGCCAACACTATTCCTTGTCTATGTCAATGAATTGTCTAAACTCTCTATTCCAAACTGTAGTATAATTTCATATGCTGATGACACGATACTTCTCGTTCATGGTAAAAGCTGGCCAGAAGTGAGTACACGTGCAGAAAGTGCACTATCTTCCGTCTATAATTGGCTAAATTTAAATATTTTAACGTTAAATTTTGAAAAAACTAATTTTATTACTTTTGCTCCTCATAAAAACTCTCTCCCGTCTGACCGTATTTCCATCCATGTTCATGAGCAAAATTGTAAGAGAAATGTCGAATGTACTTGTAAAAAAATTACTCCTGTGACTTATGTTAAATATCTGGGCATATGGGTTGACGACACCCTGACATGGAAAGAGCATATTGCGGCTACTTACACAAAACTTCGTAAATTGATTTTCGTGTTTAAGAAACTAAGACCTTTAATTGATTTCCCGTTGTTAAAAAATGTATATTATGCTCTTGCACAATCAATATTATCTTATGGTATTACAGCTTGGGGAGGGACTGGAAAAACTAAATTACTTCGTCTTGAAAGGGCTCAAAGAACAATTCTTAAAACCATGACATTTAAATCCATGCTGTATCCTACCGATGAGTTATATAAAGTCACACGGGTATTATCGGTTAGGAAACTATTTATTCTACATACTATACTACGCAAACATTCACAAACACATACAAGGACTATACAATTCACAATAAACGTAGATCTGATATAGTTTGTGAAACCCATCGTAGTCGATTGGCTTTGTGTCGACGACACTATTATTATTTTTCTTCAAATATATATAATAGAATAAATAAAATTATCAATATATTTCCTAAGACACTACATGCTTGCAAAAGTGCAACTATCGCTTGGTTACAGGATCTTACCTATGAAGATACTGAAAATCTCCTTACTTAAGTGGCAGTCACAACTCTCATACACACACACACACACACACACACACACACACACACACACACACACAGCATTATACTATATATATTATTGTATTTAATTCTAGAATCTATGTCTGCAAATATAACTATACTATCTTTTATAACTACTACTATGTAAGCTATTGGAACTAGTATTAATATTAATTAAATGTCTTGGAGGTGGGCGTTATTGACTACAACACAGTTTTTAACTAATGTAGTCCATATCGTACAATGTTCTGATTTTGTAAATTTGTTCCAAATAAAGATTTTTATTTTTATTTATTTATAGCGTCCTCAATACTTCGGGTATTCGCTTGTCTTAAATCACGCCTTATTAGATGTTTTACCTTCCTGTCAAGTACCTGACGCTTAGACTGAGTGGTATTTATCATATCGCGTCTCTTCGACATTTCGTCCAGAGTCTCGCCTGAGAGCTTTGACTTCTGTCCATCTCTCCTCGGTCGAAAATGTTTTTGGCCCACCTCACGGATTACACGCATCAGACTGTTGGTGGTGTCGTCAATGTCCTGAGTGGTTTCCAACATGGTGAATCTATTCTGTAGCTCTAGCTGGAAGCTTTCGCAACCAGCTTGCATCTGGGGCGGTGTTGGTCTAAGACATGCATAATATATACCTATAGATTTACAAGAACTTTCGTTAATCGTTGTATATAATATAAAACTTAATGTCTAATCTGATCACGTAGCAGTTAAATTTATTATTTAATATTATTTATTGTCGAACATTTTAATAATAATTTGTAAAGCAATATAAAAAAATAAGTTAAGTTCCATTGAATTTTCAAGTCCTTTCCATACACATACATATATGTATATGTAAGTGAAAAATAACTCATTTCGATGCATGAAGTGCGAATACCACACGCGTAGGACGTACCATGGGTTTTCATTCAGGACATGAAACGTCGCCGGAAGCAGATCAATCGTCCCACCCCTCCCCCGAGTGCCGAGGATGTCCAGACGGAGTGGCTCATCTCAGTCGGCTCCCGGCGCTCTGTGAGTGAGCACGTGTGTTCCAGTTATGCAGTGAATTTATACGAGTGATTATATAGATTCCCGCTCTTTATTCGCAACGGTGAGTTATATATTATTTTATAGTAAATAGAGTTATAGTTAAGTTAATTTGTGACGCCCTACTTATTTTGGTGTTTTTGCGTAACAGACAGATAAAATAAGAATTGTTAATTATTTTTTAAATATATGATTAGGCTGAATATTTATCGGTCTTAGCTTATTATATTACTTATAAGATTTTAGGTCCTGCGCAGTTGACACTTGTTGCGCTTTCCATTAATTGAATACCAATAATTTCCAATAAATCTCGCATATTCGATGCTAGATTATATGATTTGATAAAACATATCATCTGTATAGTTAAAAAAACCACGTCTCTACTTAAATCGAATATTTTTCTTAGTTAAACAGTTAAATCATAGTTTTAATAGTATCCAATTTGATGGAAATAGAATTTTTATTTTAAATTTAGTGATGCTAGTATAGTCAGCCATTAATATTGATTGACAAGTCTTTGTATAAAGACTTAATTTAAATAATGGCATTAGACGCATAATTAGGATACAGTATATGCTACACGCTACAAAAGTTTGAATAACTAATTCATTAAAAAGAATCACTTTAATGACATTCAAAAACGTTTTTCCTAAAGTCTTATTATTGCAATAATATGTATATGAAATCAATTTTCTATCACGCCACTGATCAATTAGAAAGTTATTGTAAAAAATCCGAAAATTATATTTAACTGAAATTGACGATGTAGCTCTACATATTATATATCTTATTAAATAAAACTATCTTTTCGGATTATTTCGCGGATTTATTTTTATTTTTGGTTCCCGACGTTTCGAATGCTTTACAGCATCCATGGTCACGGGAGAGACTGAGGTGTTACATGTCTTGAATGTATAGTTGTTACAGACAGCCTACCCACAATTAACAAAACTGTGTGTCTGTAACAACTACCAAAAATAAAAATAAATCCGCGAAATAATCCGAAAAGATAGTTTTATTTAAAAATGTCAAACATTCGCGTAAATCTAAGAAAGTATTATTATATATCTTGTTAAATAAATGACTGTGTGAGATATATTTCTCAGAATAGGTACATAGATACCAGTGCGAAGTGTGAAATTTTGCAAAGGTAAGGCGTATAAAAATATACAATTTTTATATACGTATTAATACAGAAAGAAATAAAGCTATTATTATATATAATATTTCCAAAAGCACATGTATACATTTAAAAAAATAAATGTATGTAAAATTATAGCGAAATATTTTTAAGGTAAGACGTCTTGTATGAACGCTTTGCCACTGATAGGTACATATATAATTATAATTAACTTATTTTATATGCCTTAATGATCTAGATTTACATACTATTTTTCGTGCATTTCACATTAAGATTGTCAGAGTTTCATACAATCTTTCATCCCCTATTTTACCACCTCAGGCAATGAATTTCGGAAAATCCTTTCTTATCGGATGCCTAAATCATATAACACTCATACAACTAGCGGTTTAGGGTGTGCGTTGATCCATCAGTCAGGACAAAAATATATATATACGATATACACATATAAATGAGCGTATAAAATTGTCATTTATTATATAAATTTGCTTTCTCCATTTTAATAATCTAAAACACTACATTTATAATATTAGTAAATATCACATCCAGCTATTGTAAGAGTCGCCTTGGTTCTCCGGAAACGCTAGTTGCGCGAATTGCATTTACCATGCTTGTTATCACTAATGCGATTATCTTTTGTAAAAAGCTTTGTAATGTTTCAAAAATACATTAAACCATTAGGTTCTGCTTACAAACTATATCGTACAACTAGTTTTCGTTTTACTTTATATTATTCAATATAATTTATTGACGCCAATCTCATTAATAATTAAGAAAAGTTGATTTATCTTTACAAATTATATCTGGTCGTTCGTATTTTTGTAAGAAAATACGTTATTTGGAATGCAATTTCATTTTAAAAATAACGTGTAGAATACGAGACCGCGGTGCAGGTTTCTATAATTGCGCGTTTAGTTTGGCCCTGAGTGAAATGAGGGTAGCTTCTTAATTTATTTTTATTAATCATAGATTTAAAGACCATAGATAGATATGATTTACATTAAATTAAATGTGTGTTCTATTAAAACTCCACGTTTATGTAAACTAGGATAATCTAATCAAGCCAGTTTGTAACAAGTATATAATGCCTTTGAGACGTCTAATACTTTAGTCTCTCCCGTGACCATGAATGCTGTAAAGCATTCGAAACGTCGGGAACCAAAAATCAAAATAAATTCGCGAAAAAATCCGATAAGATAGTTTTATTTAAAATGTTAAATATTCGCGTAAATCTACGAAAGTATTAAGCCATTCATTTAAATTACATTTAAACGAAGCAAAAAATCATATTGAAAGTTTTTTTTGGAAAGATAATAATCGATTTATCATAATAACATTATATTTATTGTACAATATACATGCAATTCGGCTTTACAGATGTCTACACTATACACTAGCATTTCACATACATTTTTATGCGTGGGTATATCTTCTTATAATATAATAAATTATAAGCAATATTCTTATATTCGTATACTATTGACCTTCTACGTAGTTTTCTTTTCATTTATGATAAAGTTAAAGATAATAAGAACGGTTATTGAATCGTAAAAGGAAATTTACTTTAGGTGATTTAATTGTTACATCCAGTATATATAGCTTTTATATTAAGTGACATAATTCTCCATGGTCAGAGATTTTCTAAAGATTTTTGCAATATTGTTTTTCTATGAGCTTTCTTGGTAATTTATTTACTTCTATTACCTAACTTCAGAAATATACACATAAATTCTTATAAAATAAAACGTGATATGTACATCCCACAGTCTTTAGTCAAATTAACTTCACTACACAGTATAAAACAAAGTCGCTTCCCGCTGTCTGTCTGTCACTATGTATGCTTAGATCTTTAAAACTACGCGACGGATTTTGATGCGGTTTTTTAAATAGATAGAGTGATTCAAGAGGAAGGTTTATATGTATAATACATGCATATTATAGCACAGAAAAGTCAAGAAAAGCAAAGATTTGTATTTCATACTAACCGTTAAAACGTGCAGTAAACGTAGTCTATAAACCTTATATCACTCTCATGACTATCGGCACAACAGGCATACCTAAACAATGTCACAATGTTCACTCGATAAGTTTTAGCATTATTTCATAATTTAAAACATCATATAAGCGTTAGAAATACGAGAGTAAAATTAATAGAGAGTTAATTATATATTTTACTTAAATGAATGTGAAAAACTTTATATAGCTGCGAAAATTGAAGGGGTTGTGTTAGTGACGCGTTGAAGTCTTACGCAGGCGGCAATAGCTAGGGCGGTAAAGTACAAAGAATAGACTCTACGGTGTAACTGTGCAAGTTTAGAAAAGTTTATCGGCTGTATACATCTATTATAAATTGAGTAACAATATGTAACAGTAATGGGAATAGTATAACATCAACGATAGTTACATATCTGAAATATATAAAGTTAATTAAGTAACTAGACATGGTTTAAATATAATTTTATAACATTTAATTTATAAGATTTTTTATTTATATTAATTAAAAAGAATAAGCTGTTCTTGAGTATTAAGGGAGAGAATTTAACCTTTAATTACAGTACATAAAATTTATAATATATTCTTATTATAAACTCTTTATTTCGTTTTATTTCGTTATTTATTTTGAGCTAAGGATCTAATGCACTGACTTGTCATTGTCATAGTTTCCTGAAAAAAAAAACTTTTTGAATGAATATTAATTAAATCAAAGATGCAAAATTAGAATATATCTACACTGTTATAGATAGACCAAAATGTATTCTAATTTATACTCATTATCATATCTATTTACAAATAAAGATCACAAGAACGCATATACAATATATTAAAAGAATATTAATTAATCGCCATCCAACATGTCGGAATATAAAGCCGACATAAATTGTTATTGTATATCTTGATGGTAATTAGCATATATTTACTTGCATTTATGCTTATTCGAGACATGAGAATGAATACAAAATATCGGTTTTCGTTCTAAAGTGATACCAATAATAATTATACCTTTAAATTAGTTTTAAAGTTACAGTATAAGTTTTCATGATAACTATTATTTTCATCACATAACATTTTATTTATGCTGGATAGTCTACACTCCACAGATAATTCAGGAAACAGCGTGAGATCCAGATTATCATATTATTGCTGAAGACTCTATGTAATATGGTGGTACTGACTTTGAGATTATTAGGAAAATAAGTTATTTAGTTATTATTAAGCTTATTCATCAACCACCACTTTCAGTGAACTTGGCCGGCGTGACTGAAATCGACGAGTTTTGTACCAATTTTCACTATAATTTAATTAAAGGTAGATTTCGCTCTAATTATCAAATTCATTATATTAATACTAATTTATAATGTTTCTAATAAAGACAATTTTTAAATAACTAGTAGAACCCGCGGCTTCGCTCGCGCTAAAACTAAATAAAAATCTCGAAAAAGGTAGGTTTCATACAAACTTTCATCCCCTATTTTACTCCCATATAGGATGAATTTCGAAAAATGCTAAAACAAGTATTTAATTACTTTTATTGAAGAGCATTAATACCAAGTTTCAAGTAATTTTGATCAAAAATATTTTTTTGGATTGTATTATAACGTGTTTTCCCGCGGGATTTAGATAATCTCCCGCGGTAAAAAGTACCCTATGTCACTCTCGAGCCCTCCAACTATCTCCACACAAAAATTCACGCCAATCCGTCACTCCGTTTCGACGTGAAAGAAGGACAAACAAACAAAGAAACACACTTTCACATTTATAATAATAGTACTTACACATACTTATAAATAAATGACTAATATATCTATATTGATATTGATGTAGGCTAATTGGTAACTTATCCGCATAGTCGATTTAAAGTTTACTTTTATTCCTAACTAGCGTATAATGAATGCTCTATCTTTACTAAGCAAAGATGAAAGTAC